AAAAGAGGGAAATGTTTTTTTTTTTTTTTTTTTTTTTTTTTATTGGGAGGTTTAAACTAGCAGCTATTAGAAACTTCCATGCAGTTTGGAATGCTTACTCACTTCCAGGGAAAAGGGATTAAAGAATGAAGGCAGGCAAGCTATGAAAGTTTGGTAATGCATCTACTTACTCCAGGAATAATACCCTCCAGAGCAGCGTGGATTTTTACACTTAGATGATTACAGACAAAGCTTCCACACGTGTTTAACGGATTAGCCATGGATTGATCTTGCAGAGTTTCTAAATGCACCAGATCTGATCTTAAAAGGCATTTTAAGTAAATGCTTAACCTCAAACTTCTGTGAAGCCTCAGTGGCATTTTGACAACTGTTCTTTTGTTTTTAGGATTACAATCTGTATTGGTAAATCTGCTTTCTCTTTCCATACAGTGTTTTGCTGTTAATCCCTAAATGGAAAACACATGCAAAGTCCAACTGCTTAATTGAAGGTAGATTTGAAGTTGCTGATGAAAGATACCTTCTTTGGAAAATGGAAAGCTTTTCTTACACAGTTCATAAACTATGTTAATCCTGTATTGACTTAAATGATACAAATTTGATCCAGAACTACCAAGTGCCCCAAATATGCTGTTGAATCAAATATTTACTTTTCTTTTTTGCTTCTCTTATTCTTTTTTTCTCCCCCAAAGCGAAGCCATTGTTTTGCAGGGTGGGTAGTTGCCAGGCTAAGTCCCAGGGGGAGGATGCAGGTTCCCAGGTGGAGAGACACTTCTGAAGGACACACTGAGTGTTGCTCACCTAGATTTTGCACACACCAGGTCTCTTGGCATCTTTCAGACTTTCCTTTGTCCACTTCCTTGCTGTTAAGGCTCCATTCACCTCATCTCCTCATGCACTTCTTTCCCATATTCAGTGTTTGGGCATCTTCCCTCTCCATTTCTCTTCAGTCCCACTCATTGCCATCATTACTCTATTCTTCTTTTCGTATATTTCATTTCCCCTCTTCCTTTCTCATCTGTCTGGAAAGAATATCATGTCAGGAATCAACTTTTTACCTCAGACAGTGCAGAGCAGTCTGAGGAAGGCATCTGTCCATTGCCTGCAGGTCTCTGGTCTCCACACCACCCTGAGAGGTTCTGGGGCTGCTGCTCTTGGAAATAGCTGCCATGGTCTTTTTGTGTCATCTTTTTCTCCACTGAAACCAAAGTTGGTGACTTTCTTTCCTTCTTGTACCTAAAATGGAGAGTCAGTCCTATCTTTCAGAAGTTAAAACAGTTCAGGCAAAAAGCCAACTGCTCCTGGGTTGTACACAAGGTTTTCTGGTTTTGGTCTGCTTTTATGCAGGTTTTAGAAAATGTTTCTGGCAATAGCCACAAAAGTGATCTTTGCCCCCAGTACACACAGCTTGCAAAACTAAGACATCTCTGCAAGGTTTCTCCTAGAAAAAAGATGAACTGCCCTCAGCATTTGACAGGACAAGAGGAAATGGCCTCAAGTTGCACCAGGGGAGGTTTAGGTCAGATATTATGAAAAATTTTCTTCCCTGAAAGGGGAAAATTGCAACAGGCTGCCCGGGGAAGTGGTGAAGTCAGCATCCCTGGGAGGATGTAAAACACATGTGAATATGGCTCTTGAGGACATTGTTTAGTGGTGAACGTGGTCCTGGGTTGATGGTTGGACTTGATGATCTTGGAGGTATTTTCCAGCTTAAACTAGTCTATGATTATTTAAGCCCTTTTATTTGGCTTTGAGCGAAAACAACCTTTGCTCCTGTGCTGTTTGGGGCTTCCTCCTCCCTCTTTCTGATGTCAATGCACAGCTCTGGCTTGAGCTGTCCCTCTCCAAACGCGCTCCTATTTTAAAGCCAAGTGCGACGTGCTGAGCAAAGCAGATTTTTGTGTCAGAAATGTGAAAGGAGTTTAGCAACAAAGGTGTCTTGGCAAGATGCTGAGCACAATGACTAACGTTATGCTTTAACACCTCGTTGGTTTTCACAGCATTGTAAAGACATTTTCATCGTAGTGTGAAACCAAGACCTCCCTCCCCACATTTTCTTCACGCAGCCTTTGGTTTTAGCTGATTTGTGTCTGGTTATGCTGACTGGAGGTATCAGGAGGGTCAGTGGTTCGGGTGTTGATGTGGTGGTTGGGAGGCAGGGAGTTCAGTCCATGTTTTGGCAAGGACTTTCTTGTTAGCCGGGGTGGAGGGGTGTCTTTGCACTTCTGCTGCCTGCAAAGAGGGATGAATACCACTCTCCTACATCAGACACACACACTGGGTTGATTAATGTGTTGTATGTTACAAAATGCAGGTGCTGTTCTTACAGAGTCTTGAGTAATGGCCTGAGATGTACTGGAGGACTTAAAAGACCTAGAGAGTAGCAAAAGTAGGCAAACTCCTCAGTTTTGTGTTTCACATACAAGTCAAGTGACAAGATCTAAAGCATGAGCAGCTAACAGGTTTATTTCGGAAGCTCTTTGGCTTCTTTCATCTAAATTAAAGTGTAACAAAACAGAAGATCTCACTGATCTTCAATGGCATGAGCTAAATCCTGGTAGAGGTCAGGGGGAAAATATGGCCAACTCTGATGTTTAGAGGAATTTTGCCCTGATGCTCAGTGTCTAGGTGGTCAAGTGGCCTAGAAATGTGCGGCTAAATAATTGAGATACAGGGTCATAGTTCAGATCATGATACAAGGTATTGGTACAAATTGCTAGAGAGCATCCTTTCTTAGGTTGCTTGGGTTTTCAGGGAAGATATTATGGTCACCATGTAGAAGGTATTGCTTGGGAGACACATTTGCTCCTGCTCACTGATTTAAGAGCTGTCAGGACACAACCTGATTTCTTCAGAGCATTAAGGTGAGGTCAGACACTTTTACCTCCTCCTGTTTGCTTTGTGTCTGATCTCTAAGTGGTGCTGGTGGGAGTTTTATTTGTTCAATTTTTTAAACAAGGCAATTTCTCCCACCACCCAAGGTCAACCATGTACCCTAGAAAAGGAGTTTCAGCCAGGAGGTTTCCTGAGGCATCCTTGGCAATCAGGGGAGGTGAGCTGCTCCAAGGGGAGATTCCAAGCAGGAGCCAGAGGCTTGGAGCTCCTGGGTGGAGGTGGCCTCTCCAGGCAGGGTTGTGCTGCAGGCTCACCAGGGTACGAGGATCATCACATATTCAGAAGGCAATCAAGGCCCCTCAACATTGGGGTGTGTCTCTGCTGGATGTCAGAGCAGCTTCTCAGACTCCTCTAAGCAATTTATGCAATGATGGCAACACGAATTTCTGTCCTGAGCCAAGATCTGATCATGGCATGGATCACAGAGTGCTTTGAGACAGCTTTGAATATGGATAGAATAAAACCCTTCTCGCTGCTCAAGAGCATTGAAGTTATTATGAAGAAAGTTACTGATTCCTCTGAACTCTCTGATAGCATTAACATGTATTCTTGTTTCTCTTTAGCCTCAGGCAGCTTTGCAAAGAGATGTGTTTAGAGTGCAGACGTTCACCCATACCCAGTAAGATGTGCCTGATGTAAAAAGATGTGTCTTACTGTATGTATGACTTGCAAGAAGCATAACACACATCTTGTAGATTGTACTTTTTTTTTTTTCACTTGCTCAGTGTCTCAGGGTATTTGTCTCCTTGCAAGTTTGGCTTAGCGTTGTATATGGTTGAGTCCAAATTTTGTTAGCAAAATGCTGAATGCACAGTAAGTGAATTTTGCAGAACTGGGTCACCAGAAGGTTCTTCGTTTCTCATCTTGAAGCCCTTGAACAATTCTTTCCTGAATGGTGTGTCCTTTGTTGACAGTATATTTGATATGTAACCCTTGGGGGGCTGGAGAATACTACAAATCTGTTCTTAAACTGCGCAGATTAAAAATACTCCTTAAGTGTGTTGATAGCATTGGATGACACTGTGGTACAATTGCTGACTGTGCACTATTTGCTGTATTTTTCAGACTAATGGACACATATCTGGGAATGGAGATGTTTATCAAGAAAGGCTGGCTCGTCTGGAAAATGATAAGGAATCTCTTGTTCTGCAAGTGAGTTGTCACCCCAGTTATTTTTTTGTGCTCTTGCCTTCATGAGACTTTTTGATAGCATGTGATAAAAACCTCTGAGAATTTATTTGAAGTTGTGATGTCTTGGACAGTTAACCCAGATTAAGGATGGGTGTGGATTTAGATTGCAGGAAAAATCCAAAGGCCTTTATGTCTGCATATCCGATCTTTCTTTGAATCTTGTTAGCTGAGCATGTCGGCAGAGCAGCCACCTACTTACATTCATGTATATCTTTAATATCCCCACTTTCCATGACCATTCCCATGATGGCTGCATCAGGAGACAGATATCCTGTCCTTAGGAAAGGTGTCTCAAAGGTGTTGTCTTGGTCCTGCCCAGCCTTGGGCTGTGTGTTTTAACCTCCTTTGCTTTTTTTGCTCTCAAGAGGAGAAACTGGTTGTTATGGTACACAATGTGTGATCCTTGGGAAGGAGAATAAATTGTAAGCAGTGAGATTTGGCTATTTGGTTGTTAAGGTAGGAACTAACGGGTTTAGCTAATGGATTGTCACAGCAAAGGCATAATTGTTGGTAGCAAAATGCAGCAACCACCCCTCATGGAAACTTCCAGGACAAGCCAGGAGGGGAGATGCAGAATTGCAATGCACCTGCCAGAACTTTGGCTGAAACTGTGGTGTGAAGGGGGAGTTTTCTCTCCTCTCCTGTTGCCTTTGCCGAGTGTTGTGTCCACTGCAGAGCTCTGCTGCTTCTTCTCCTCCCTGCATGGTCCCATTTCATCTTTGGCCCAGCCAGCACGTGCAGTTCTTCAGCTGACACAGACACAAGGTGCTAAACGTGCATCCCTTTTTCCCTGCTGTCCAGGTAAGTGTGCTCACAGACCAAGTGGAGGCCCAAGGAGAAAAGATTCGGGATCTGGAGTTCTGCCTGGAGGAGCACAGGGAGAAGCTGAATGCCACAGAGGAGATGCTGCAACAGGTGTTTCACAGCTCCATGCCTGTCTTACTGTCTTGTCTTCCTTCTGTCCTAAAAAAACCTGCATTTTGCTTTGGTGAGAGCAGTGCACTCCAAGGTGTCGCAGCCCTTGATATCTCTTAGCTAAGGGGTAATTTTCTACTATATTTGCTTTCAAATATAGTAGAAGTCTTTGTGCTTAGTAATGTCAGGGCTGCTTTACACTGTAAGAATCCAGTTCTGCTCTTCTTTGAGTCCTTCCCCACTGAACTTCAAAGAGCCTTTAGATCAAAACCCTGTGGCAGGATGGGTGGATTCCCTTCACATCTCCTTGCTGCCCACAGCAACTGTGATGACAGACGGGCTTTTTTCTCGTCCTGGCAGCCAGCCCATGATAGTGCCCCCGTGATCCCAGATGCATCCTAGGTTCCTGGAGTCTGTCAGATGGATAATAGCTGTGTCCCAGGGCTTCACAGAGTGCAAGGAAGAGGGTGATGCTTTTCCCCATGAAGGAGACCTTTAGCTGTCAAAATAAATCACTGATTTCTTCCCCTTGGGTGAATAATTCTGTTCTCTTTATCTTGAATCAGGAGCTTTTAAGCAGAACAACCCTTGAAACTCAGAAGCTGGATCTTATGGCAGAGATTTCCACTCTGAAATTAAAGCTTACATCTGTAGAGAAAGATAGATTGGACTATGAGGACAGATTCAGAGACACAGAGGTGAGTAAAACCCAATGGAATAAATTGTGAAAGCTGTGTGTGTCTTCACATTACCTGAAGGGAACCTGAACCAGGCAAGAAGGGAACTCATCTTTAAGGTTAAAAAAATGTATCTCTTAAAATAAGAAGTGGCCCCTTTGTTAAATTCTGGTTTTACAAAGGAAGATTCCCAGAGCCAGTTTGGGATTCCTACCATCAGAGCTGCCATCCCTGGCAGTGCTCCCCTCAGGCATTTGCCCTCTGTGCACTGCAGGTCTGTGCAGCTGAACCTTGTTCATTTTTGAAGCCAGAAAGCTTCAAAACAGGTGGGCAAACCCAGTTTTTCCAGGAAACTGGAAAGTATCAGGCTGAGCTTTGCTGCCAGGATGACATACCCGTATCAGAAAAACCTTGGATCTGTCTGCAAAGCAGAACGAAGTTTCTACTTCTGGATTTGTAAACAAGCTGAAATGTCAGGTGTTCATATTGTGGATGTTCCAGATGTCCTTCATTTCTAGAAGGAAAAAAAGCCATATTGTCATCACAGGAGAACAAATTTCCACTTCAGTCAGTGGTTTCCCCCCTCCTTAGTTTCCAGTGAAGCATCGTTCCTCACTTGTATTTATGAGCATAAGGAAAAAAGTTAGGCTTGCTTTTGAATTGCTTTCTTTGGACCTGAAGCCCATGGGTTAAAAACTAATTACTTGAATTGCTCTCAGATTTGAAAGTAAGTGATTCTGTGTGCGGTGACAGCTGTTTGACAGCACATTTTCCAAGCTGTGGGATGGATCCATGTACCTGCTGTCACCTTTTCCTCTGGTTCAGTAACAGGTCTGATTTCCTTCCTCTCTTTCTATCCTTATTTTTATTAAATCTAGTTAATCATAGAGTTCTCCTGTACTCCCCCTTTCTTTGTTTCTCCCCTGAACTGCAGTCTCTCCATAATTAAATAGCACAACTCACATACCAAGAAGATGGATGTGGAGCTACCGTTTCCTAGAAAAGGGGTTCCAGTGTGGGGAGCACACCATGCACTGCAACTCTATAAGCTGTGTGCAAAAGGCTATGAAGACCTTTCTCTTTGAAATACCTTGAAACACACTTAATGCCTTTGATAAAAATAACTTAAATTATCTTTAATTAGGGGCTATATAGATTTATTTCCTGGGTGTTTATGCCAGAACTAATGAACTATTACTAAAATGTTCCTCCCTCTCTTTGAAAACCAGAATGACGTAGTTTAGTGTGATAGAAATTGTTATCTTGTTTCTTCCTTGCTTCAACACTTTATAGCTGTAAAAAGGCTTAGGCTTAAACATGAAAGGGGTAATATATCTTAATTTCCTTTGGTTCAGTGGGAAAATGAATGGCTGATTAGTTGTCTCAGCCCTTACAAAATCTCAAAGAGGTATTTTGGAGGCAGTGCTTTATCAGAATTACACAGTATTTTATTCCTGTTTAAAGTAGTAGATTATCAACTATTTTAGATGAGCTGAGTATTTAAATGAGTATTTAAAATATTTGACCATAAAACACATTGTGGCATTTACGTGGAGTATTCAAAATGGAAATAGATTCTTACCCAAACTGGGAAAGAAAAACTATGATTGTTGCTTCTGATTTTATTTAGGGAAAATTAAAAAAACCCATCATTGACATCTGACAACTTTTGTGGAGCTACTGGCTCCCACAGAATTACCATTCAAATTAAATCCCTGTATTATCCAGTTGTTCCTTATGTCTGTTGTTGCACCTTCCCATTCTAGCTTGGTTGGTTACTCATGTTCTCCATTCTTTCTCTAAACAGATGCTTCACTGGGCCTTTCTGCTCTAGGATTTGCTGTCTAGATGTTCACAAATACACAGCTTTTTCCCAAAGCTAATTGTATACTTAATAGAGATTTGTAATTGTTCTGTTCTTTAAATCATTCCAGTCTTTTCACTTTCTCAGCAGGCACCAGCATTATTTTCCTTAAGGAACATGGGTGGTCTGAGTTGGGCTGAGTTTATGTAAGAAAATACCTTACAAGGGAGTTTATTTACGGAGGAGTCCATAACCAGCCTTTTGAAGCAGCAGCCAGAGGGTAAAACTGGCTCAGTCACAGGGAGATCTTCATAATTTAACCAACTCCAGTGTCCCTTGTGCACAGGAGTTTCTGAGAGGAATAGTTTGTGTTCCCAGTGCCAGTAAGGAAAACCTCTGACCCCCACAGCTCAAAGTTATCATTAATTTTTTTTTGTGCACTTGCAAGGGAGTAATTGAAAACATTTTGGGGGCAAAGCATGCTGTTAGGACTTGTCTTGAACTTCTGTTTAACACCTGGGAGAAACTGTATGGTATTTTTTGGTCACCAGTTACCAGTGGTAAAGGATCTGATTACCCATGAGGTCCATAAGAAATTAATCAGAATAATTTAGTTTCTGCTCCAGGATCTTACACTCTTGAATTCTGGTTGAATTCACTCAGCAGTGAGTACCACACAGCGTATTTTGACATTGGGTCATGCTGCAGGAGAGAAAAACCCTCCAAAATCAATTGTCATAGTGTCAAAGGTGACCATCAGATTTGGGAATAGAACGGAAAACTGAGAAATAGAGTCCCTGGATATCTGTGAAGCTCTGAGTTGCTTGACTTAGGTGGTGTGATTTTGTGTACAGAGTGCCTTTTATTGCTGCTTTTATTGTTGCTGCTTTCCTACCAATGGGTAGCTTTTGTTCTAGGGCTTTTACTGAATTTTCTCATTGTTTCTGGTCTTCTTTTTCCCTTTGCTCAGGATTTGATCCAGGAAATAAATGAACTGCGGTTGAGAGTGGGAGAAATGGACAATGAAAGACTCCAGTATGAGAAAAAACTGAAAACAACCAAAGTAAGTGAGGTTGAGGGGAAGAAGCAGAGGTGGGTCTAAGTCAGGCTTTAGGAGTTCATTCTCTTTTCCCTAATCCCTGCCTGCACCCTGCAAAACCTGAGTCCTCTCAGGCCCTGGGGTTTCATGGTTCTCACTTAGCAGCAGGGGCTATTTCCATATGTCATGCTGTGGTTTTCAGCCTGAGCAGTGTTTTTTATGAAGGATAACTTACCTTGCTGTTATCAGTAAATTTATTTCCTGTTTAGACCCTTGTTTCACATGTGTCAAGAAACATGAGTTGCAGTACACAAGGTGTATGCCATAGCTGAGACCAAAATTGAGCATTTATTTTCTTCTAAGTGTGCTAAAAATAAACCACTTCTGAAGTGAAAACATTCACCTAAGTATTTCTAGCAGCCTGTTTCTCTGAGTGTCTAACTTCTCTTTGCCATTTAGCCTTGTCTCTTTTCTACCTTTAGTTTTCTCTCACTCCTCTGTCTCTGTTACCAGTCTTTAATGGCCAAACTTTCTAGTATGAAAATCAAAGTGGGTCAGATGCAGTATGAAAAGCAGCGGATGGAGCAAAAAAGCCAGATGTTAAAGGTGTGGTAGTTTCTGGGGGACACTGGGCCTGTTTTGAATCCTTCATGTCGTACCCTTTTACAGTCTGTCCTGCATCGTGCTGTCATGCTCTGTTCTTCATTAATTGTTGTTTGTTGGTATGCAGTGTGCCCTTCCTTGTTAGAGAGCTCTTGATGTAGATATTCCTTGTAAACAGCTTTTATTTTGCATGGGAGAGGATTTTAGTGTTGTGAACTTTGCATAGGTTACACCTAATGGAATTAGAGTTGGGTTAAAATCATGCCCCTTCTGAGGACAGATTGCCTTGTGTGTAGCTTGCATCCATTATTCAAGCAGAACTTTTTATCACCCTTTTATAGAAAATTTATTCATGAAAACTAGCTGGAAAATAGCGATTCTTCTGTACGCCCCCCCCCCGCCCCACATGTAAATTTGCATATCATGTTTCTAATTCAGGGGGAGAAATACACATTGACAGCTCTAGTTGCCTGTGGGTATAACAGCAGCTTCTCAAGTGACCAAGAAATGGTCTTATTTTGGAGGAGCATGGATCCTACACTGGCAGAAATCCCATCGAAATCAGTGCCACACTGGAGCACTGGAGAAATGTATTTATTGCCCAGCCGCTGTTGTGGAAGAAGCTTTGATTTCTTGACAATTTTAAGGTTGATCTATTTTTTTTTTTTAAATGATGCTTTAGAGCAAACATGAACCAATTACAGGAAATTCCATAGTTTGGGTTGCAGACATCGCTGTATATTTGCAACAGATCTTTTGAGGGTTAGCTCAGGAAAATACCTAAGCCACAGTATTTTCTAGTTTGGTTTATTCCTTTAAGGATTTAAAACGTCAGTTACAAGCTGTTAATGCCAAAATGCTGAGTCTTGCCTTGTTTTGCTTTGTTTACAAACTGAACAAATTAAATTTTCAGTGTTGGGTACATTTGCACTGAGGGCCCTGTCTTGATGATGCTGTTGCACAAGATATCCTCGGACATCAAAGAAACATGTTACTAAACTGGGTAGGATTTGACTCAAATTTTAAAAAGTTAAATGCATGGGGCTGTGCCAGTTCACTTGCTAGTGCAGATGGTTAGATCTAAGTTAAAATTTGACAGCATTTTTCTAATACACCCCAGCTCCCCCAAAACACCATCTGTCTCATTCCCAAGAATCTCAGCTCCAAGCTTCCTTCCCTAGTGCTTGATCAGCAAACCCAAACTGTGGCAGAGGTACCACATTTTGTCTGAACTGCTTTCCAGTGTGTGTGTCCATGTGCTTGGTGGTGTTGTGGTTGATTTTTCTTCCATAGAAGCAGTGGTTGTTTCTGAAACTGTCCTCAGCCTGGTTGTTTGGCTTTGAACACGCAAAATGCCCTGTAAATACCAAAATAAATCTCTGGAGATTTTAACCTTTGCCCTCATCATCTGCACTTTTTCTGTCTCTGCAAGGTTAAATAAATAAGAAAACTCTTTTTTTTTTTTTTTTTTATCTTTACTATTTCTTCTTTAAATTGAGATGTAAAATCTCTTTACAATGAGACTGACAATTTCAGACCACTGGTTTTGCCCCCACAGGTCTGTTGTGATGTTCAGGGTCATTTTGGTGGGTGTAAATGTCAGGGGACCCTTGGTCGTTTCCATAGGCTGAGGATCTGCCCAATGTGCTTCCTAGAAGGGAATTTTGGAAACATCTCATGTGTGTGTGGAAGCTGTCTCTGAGTGACTCTGTGTCTGTTACAGGATGAACTCTCAGCTTTGAAAGACAAACTGGAGCAGAAGGAAGCCGAGGTAAAAAGGTTGCATGAAAAATTGGTTTGCAAGCTCAAAGGAGAAGGAATTGAAATCCTGGACAGAGGTAAGAGAAAAGAAGGCTCTGTCACCATGTCCTCCTCAGTCACCTCATCTGAGGTCGTGTCTCCATGAATGGTTGTACAGGAAATAACTGATAAAAGCATCAATTTTCTTAAGCTTTGTGTTTACCTCTTGTAGTATCTTTAGTGGGTGTTGACGATGCAGCTGCTGAAATTACTGTCAAAGCAAGTTCTTGATCAAATTTAAACTGGTCAAGAGATCCCTAGTTAGATCTTTATGTGGCTTGTTTGAGGCCTAAAAAGATGCAATTTATATTGGCCAAGAAAGATTTAAAAGAATTTCAACAAGTTCCCCAAAAAGATTGAAAAGGAAATTTTCCTACCTGGGTATTTATGGGCTTTGTGCTACTTTTTTTTTATCTATGGAATAGCAAACTACAGACCAAAGTGTGATGTGGACCTACCTGTAAGTAGGTGAAATTGAGGATTGATTCTAGATTTGTGCACTGGTTAAGTCCAAATCTTAATTAGACTTGAATTAGCACAAAAATTTTCCTTGCTAGGTAATTCTTTTATTTGCTTGCAAAGAAGAAACTGAATTAGTATTTATTTAATTTTAGATTCAGGATTTATGTTACTTGAAAGTAGAAGTTTTTTGTTAAAGCCTCAGAAAAATTTTCCAGAGACTTTCTTAGCCCGCTGCAATTTAAATTCTGAATATATCTCGCTGGTAATTATTGCTGATTTTAAGATCATGCTTTCAAAGTGTGTTTTATAGAAAACAAAGCCACAAGAGATTAGTCTCCTCCCCTGACCTGAGGAGGAAAAGGCTGTGTGTAGATTGTCACATTTTATTTAATAAAATGATCTGTTTTCAAAACCACTGGCTAAAATCACTAAAAGTGACCACAATGAGCCATGATTCCATTTTTATTTAAGGACATTTAAATGCAAACAAGGTCTGATTTTATTGCATTCGTGACTACTTATATAGGGCTTTTTTTCGTGGGGAGCTGCTTGAACTCCCACTACCCTCTGGTCCTCAACTTTAGTTTAGTTTTCAGTACAGCTCAGCAAAAGATCTTTTGCAATGATGACACATATTTTTTCTACCTTGGACCAATATTAAGAAGCATAGATTATCTACCTCATTAGCTGAATGAAGTGAGGAATAGTTGACTCTTTTATTATCGGTGTTCTCTGAAAAGTTATTTAATATCATAACCTTCATGCTAATTTCAAATCCAATGGGTTTTCCTGCACAGATGGAAATTGTAAAAAGAAGCTCAAAGATAAAAGTAAGGTTTCTGGTGTCTTTCCCCAAGCATTTGCATTCCAGAAGTGCTTTCCAGAATAGCTTCCTGCATGTGTTTGCAAAACTGCTTTAACAAACATGGTTAGGTTGCATCATCTATAACCCTTAGAGTAAAACTGGAGAATAAGAGTGGAGATATCACATTTAAAAACCAAAATTTTCTAATTAAAGCCGATAGGCAAAAAAAGATTTGGTCTCAGGAAGACCCACAAAGCAGTTGCCTCTCAGTGAAATGCAGCTGCAATCCAGTAAACCAGATTTTCAGCCAGCAGAACTGAGGGAAAATCATTGGAACTGACTCAGCTACTGGTTTAGTTTCTAAATGTCTTTCATCTGGAAAGCCATCCAGGCAGCTTGTTTTCTTCTTGCATTTCATTAAGGAGGAAAATGTTCTTCCTGCTCTGTTTGCTTTCCAAGAATTTTTGGGGAGTTAAAACAGTGTAAAAGGCTTTCTTGCCTGTGAGTTTGGTGAGAAGTTTGCCTGTGTTTGTAGCAAAATTTAAAGCTCACTTCATTTACACAAGGTGGATTTTTAGGAGAAAGTGGAGATTATTTCTATTCTCTTTGGATTTCTAGTCCAGAACACCTCCAGAACATACATATTTCCATGTATTTATACTTCTTGGTAAATAAGGATTATAGATGTGCTGTTGTCTGTATTAAGGACCTTGTCCAAATCGGAATATATATTTATTCCAGCATGACTGCTCATCACAGCAAAGACTTGTTTCATTCCATTGTGCTGTCCTAATTTCTACATCCATACTGAATTAAGGCTGTAATTAAGCATCACTGCCCAGTGCTTCCTTCATCATATCTATTAATCCAGTTGCTTTGGATAGTGGGTTTTTGAGGTGCCATTTGGGGTGTTTGTTGACTGTTGTAATGAGGATGCATTTTATTGCACTCCAAATGGAGTATTTTTTATTTCAAACTTTTTGTTTTGTAATTATTTGGCTATTTGAAAGGTGAAGATAGTGAAAAGTCAAGTAGTAGTTTTACTCTTGAGTTTTCCATTCTCTTAAATTCCTGAATTTAATAATTTCTTTGATAAAATTGTCAGTGAAGAGGTTTTGAAGAAAAGGGATTTCTTCCATATATTTCCATCTAACCCAGATTTTAAATGGCTTATGCTTTGTCTGTTAATTTGTAAGTTTACTTTCAGATATTACTGAATTGCTTCTAGGGGTTTTTTTGTTTTTCTTATTTCCTCACAGTGTCTGGTTTAAATTGACTTGGAGAACTGTGTTGTGTTTTTAGATATAGAGGTACAGAAAATGAAGAAGGCGGTAGAATCTCTAATGGCAGCAAATGAAGAGAAGGTAGCAAAGTCATTATTTTTTCAGTAATCATTCTTCAGATTGATTTATATCTCTAAGAAAACCTTCATGTATGAGCCTTTCACAATTCAATTAAAAACCAAGCTTCTAAAAATTGATGATTTTTTGTAGTCAGAAGCACAGCAGTGCCTTTAAGGGACTATAACTGAGCATTTATGAGCTCTGTGCATGTATAGAGGGTCCTTACAGAGTCCTTCACTGTTGAGTCATTGAATTCAGTGTGACTACAATTTATACCGCGTTCTGAAAATGTAAAGAGCTCCATAAAAGTGCCATATTGCAGGTTGTGTTCTCGAAAGGGCTTTCTGTGAAGTAGGAATTGTTTTAAGGGATGGTTTTGTGCTTTCATATGCATGTGCATTTTATAGGATGTTTTCTTTTGATCACCAAAGCCCTAAATCCTTTGTACGTGGACAATTTATTATACTCTACCTTTGACTTAACAAGGGAGCTTTCAAGGCCGGGACAATAATCAGGTGGTAGTTTTTGCTAAATACAGGTTTTGATACTACAAAACCTCCCAGCATTCTGAGTCCTGTCCCATCCACACTTCCCACTTCTTTTAGTCTCACAACCAGTTAAATTGAAGAATGTAGTTATTTGTATTTCTGGGGGAGGAAGCACAGTCACAACTTCCCTTTATTTTAGGATCGGAAGATCGAAGAGCTCCGGCAATCTCTGAACAGGTACAAGAAAGTTCAAGACATGGTGATACTGGCTCAAGGTAAAAAAGGTATTGTACAACCAAAAAAAATTAAACTCTGCCCTCATTTAAACTCCAGGTGCATTGTGGTACGGAGCTTAGCTGGGAAACTGAAATGGTACCTGTAATTTATACCATAACATGGTCCATTCCATATGTTCCAAGACTGGTGGAGGTTTCCAGATCCAGCAGCTTCTGATCCCTTGAGGTGATAAGTGTTGAGCTGGTCAAAAGTTTGAGTTTACCTGAGTTTGTTTAGGACAGACATGGGCTTGTGGCTTTTGTTGGCTATGCAGGTGTTGGAGGTGGATCCATCCTCCATCTCCCTCTCCATCCTAGGAGAGGGATGCAGGAGCCCCCAGGGGTTCTTGCAGAGAGTAAGGATTGTCAAAAGCTGAGGAGTGAGGAAGCAAAGTATGTATTTTTGTGGGGCTGAGTGTTGGAGGGGTAGCAATTTTTGAACAGGTACTGTTTTTTCACACCTTCAAACACAGGAGGGTATTAGAACAGGCCTCGAGTCTCTGGGAACTGTGTTTTGGGGTCACTTCACGGAGCGTGAACAGAGATTTCTGGCAGTGAAAACTGGGCAAGAGAGGTTTTGACTGTGAACAAACTTCGGCTTGTGTTTGCTTCAGGTCTTTGGCAACAAGTGTGAGATTTCTGCTAACTTTTTAGGAAGCCTTGGTTGTCTTTAACAACCAATCCAAGGCTTTGGCAGGACCAGGGCAGTTCAGGAGCAGCGTTGGGAGCAGAGGATGCTGGATGGGCTTCAGCATGAACGGAATGAGACACACTGAGTTTGTGGCAGGCTGCAAACACCATGTAGGCTGCTGCTAGCCCACTCTTGAGCAGTGGGCTGCATTTTTCCTATGGGTAAATTAGAGATAACACAGAGACAGCTTAAGTTGCAGGCAGACTTGACCTCCTGGTCTTTTCCTAGTGAATAAGGGAAAAGAAGTATTTAGTATGAAATTCCAGAACATGGAGAGGAAATAACTACTCCAGTTTATTCAGCTTGTTGAAAGCAATCCCACTAAATGCCCTGAGGGCATTTGCTGGAGTTTTTGCTGTTGGTCTATGTTCCTCCCTCTGTTCCAACTCGTCTGTGTTGTGGTGGTTGGATTGGGAAGCTACACTGGCAATGACTTCCCTCCCTCTATTGTGGTCTGTCCTAAGAAAACCCAACAATCAAATCCTTCCATTTTTGACCCATAAATGACTGCACCTTGCGTGGGCATAAGGGTCATCATGTATCCAGAAATAAAGCCAGCGATTTTCCATGTTCTCTCCCTTCAGGCAAGGAAAGTGACGGTGAAGAGTTGAATTCAGGGTCTGTTTCCACGGTTTTACTGGACACACCAAGTCTGACTGACCCAGAGAAAAGCCCATCCCCAACCCCAGTGACAGCATCTCCAATCCACGATGAGTTTAATGTGAATATTCATGAAGAGGTGTCTTTTTTCCTTCCTCATTTAATGCCCTTGGTCCTGGAAAACCTTGTTTGTGCTGATTTCATACTGCAGATGCCAAAACTCAAGTTTCTGAAAAGACTTCTTTTCTGGGTTGCACAGTTTGTAGTAATGTCTCATATCCTTTTGGAGAATGTAGTTTTCTTGTGAAAGCTGCTGAGGAGTTTGAATTAAATTTATTTTTCTTAATCATCAAATGGGATCGGTAGACAGCACATAGCTGTATTTGCCATGAGAATGGGTCTAAACTACTTTTCCTATCAAACATATAGAAATTAGTTTTCATATCAAACACAGCTATTTTAGGAGCTATATTTGGCAGGAACTTGAAGGAAACAAGTAAATAAGCAGGACTTATTTAATATATTCTGTCATATTTATTACATTATTGCATCCATGATAAGTATGTTGTGGTCCAATATCTGATTTTTGCAAACAGATTTTCCAGTAATAAAACTATAGATCTCTTCTCTTAGAAGTCTGAGTCAGAGCAGGGTCTTGACTTACATGAATACACTATGAAGAAAATTAAATTAAATGGAATGTTTAGCAGTTTTTCTGTATTCTCTGAGTGGCTGAGGACAAGTGTAAACCTGAAAAGTGAACTACCCTTCATGGTGTCTGTGGTAGAGACAGATTTAGGAGGCAGCCTTGGGAGACTTGGGAGATTTTTGTCTGTGCTGCAGCTTATCTGTGCAATGATTCGTGTTTTATCTTCAATGCCATCTTTCAAATAGTAAATCACTGTATTACAATAGAAAAAAACCTTTCAAAACCTTATTTCAGACCCTCCTTTTCACAGTTTATCTGTTACTCTTTTTTCATATATGACTCCTTCATTTCAGCTCAGAAGAGTGTAACACATATTCTTCATCCTTTTCAGAACTCCTTACAGATCCACACCAGTATTTTACAGATTTCAATCCCTTCTTTTTCATCAACATCCAAGAGCTCAGAAGCTGATGCAGAGAGGGTGAAAACACAGCCTAGGCCAGATCCTGCAAGTGAAATGAGGTATTATTATGGTTTCCATGCATTTTTCAATTGTAAATCCAATATTCTGGGACGTTTAATGAGGTTAATAATCTGTAAGTGACTGAATTGTCAAGACATTAAATCAGTTAAACAAGGCTGGCATTCATCTGAGTAGCTGTAGCAAAGTAAGCTAATGTTCATGAAGTGCAATGGTTAAATCCTTCTTGGTAAGCAAGGAGTGACCTTCACCTTCCACCAGCATTTCTAATCCTGCACCCTCCTTGCCCTGAGAGGAGATGGAAAAGCACCCCAGACTCACACCTAGACAAAGGCTGTGCTTGTGTTTTTCTACTGGCTCCAAATCCCTGACTTTATATAAAGGAGTATCAAGTACTAAGAACCCAGAGGCAGGAAAATCTTATTGACTTGAAACAATCATCAATCTTAGTGTGAAAAATCAGTGCAAGCCCAAATTGATGTGGGATTTTTCCATTCCAGTCAAGGAAAGCATCCTGTCCAGAAGACCAGCTTGGCTTGGTTTCTGCTGTGCCTCATGCAGCTTATCTTTATCTTGAGCTCACCTTTGTCCTTTATCTTTCACAAGACTTGCCACCCTGAGGGGAATATTTGCCATGTGTTAGTATCATAACAGCTGAAGTGAAAGCACAATTAAAGCAGTCTGAAATTATGGGATTTCTGTCCAGCAAAATATTTTTTCTGTATCTTCTTTGTTTTTACAGTGAAGGAAGATCAGCAGGTTCCTCCCCAGAAACTCATCTGTGTGATAGTCCAGTGTAAGTACCATAATCAAAACTGTTTAGGAGACATATATTTCTATATGATTGTCAACTTGAAAACCCCAACACCCCCCCATATTTTACACACACATGCAAACACGTCAGCTAATTCCAGCAAAGATGGGATTTAGTGATGGCGGGTTTCTGCTCATGTCCTGAGCTTTCTTGATCATTACTTTCCAGTGCTTTGTCTGTGCATAGTTACTTGCTGTTACATCAGTGGTAGACTGTCAGTATACTCTGAAATTTATAGTTTTCCACAGTACACACACATTTGATTTGCTTTTTTCTTTTGATAGTGGGGGAAGGGTGATGAGTGGATTAGAATGGGAAAATAAAAGCCCAATTCTGCTCCCCTTATGTTGGTGTAAATATAGGTAACTTTATAAAATTCAGTGTTTCTCCGAATTTATATGTGGTTATGAGAAAAACTTTAATGGTAATTTTCTTTTCAACCAGACTTGAGCGTTCTAGACTGTAAATCCCACCCGAAATTGTGGGATATCTGGTCCTAAACGGAAAATAGAACCGAAGTTAAAATACTAAAACACTCATACTTGGTTTCTCTAAGGATTAAATTAGTCTAAAGGCAGTTGCTAAAAATACTGTTTTTCATAGCTTTTGTTTGTATCAATTCCTTTGCCTGTGTAACTTCTGCTTGTGCTTCTGAAAATATGATGTTAAATAAGAAGCCAACAAAATCCAAAGGTGGGCATTGTGTCACTGAAGCATCAGCAGCAGTAATTATGGTGTAATTAAATTTTGTGGTCTTTGATTACTGCATTGATTGTCTTATTTCAAAGCATCATTGGTTTTAGTGTATCTCAGCATGTTTACAGTGCTTTCTTTAAAGCTGGTTCCTGTGTCTCAATCTTAGCAAATTTAATTTCAATAACTTAGCTTTGTTTTTATGTCGTTGTCCCAGAACTTCCTCGCTGCAGAAGTCCAGCAGTCTGAGCAGTTTGAGGAAAGAGCCATCCGAAGTGGTAGGTTTGGCCTCCTCCTCCCTCCCATCCCCTTAGGAATAGGAGTGATGTCTCTGTTGTGGCAGTGACCCCATGGATGCTCTGTTGCCACCTTCTGGGAAATCCTGAGTCAGAGCAGAGCTCATCATGTGTTAGCAATGGTCACATACATGTGACATCTTCCAGAAGAAAATAAGTCCCACTACCCCCTCCTACTTGAATAATTTTGGAAGACCATGTAATTAATGCATTATAAAATCCAGTCTGGGCTGACTATGTTTTAGGTGGTCAGGAACAAAAATATTGAGCCATTATATGTCTAGCGATAGCTTCAGTTTAGGTTTCTCTAAGTGACCAAAAGCAGCAAACCTCCAGCAATGCCATCAAATCAGGGTGATTCATGTGCTCTTTTGTGACAGCCTGGACTCCTAGAGAGAGAAGCTCCTGAATTCCCTGACACCTCCTGTGTCTGACAGCATAGGAGGGGTGTTGACAGGAATGAAAATGTAACCAGGATTTTATGATGAGAGCTGGAGTTTATGGGTTGGAGGTTTTTGGTTCTTTGCTTGGACAGCCGAGGAGTAGAGGATGTGGATGTTTCTACCTTGTCTGATTCCTCTTTGGGTCCTCTCAGACTTAACATTCTGCATATCCCTAATTATGTGCACAGCTAATCCTTCACAAAGTAAACCAAAGCAACTTCCATGTCAGCTCACTGACCTCAAAGAAAGCAAGGATTAATCTGTGTGAAATACAGCTCCAAAGAGATTTATTTTGGGGGAAAAAATGTGCAGGGAAGGGTATTTCATTTCAGAATTTAACTCATAATGAATTGAATGCTGGCTGTAAGCCATGGCATTTTAAATGTCTGTCTTAATCTTTCCCAAACAGGACAGAGACCCTGCCCAGAAGCCAACAGAGGTAACGAGTGTGTGTGTCTGTACATGGAGGAACAGGGGCAGTGAGTGGGTGGTGAAAGACTCCGTGATGTGAAATGACCACACACAGTTCCAGAGGGGGAATATGCTGCAGAAAAGATAGTGTGGAGTCTCTGAGTGTCATCATCACCTCAGTGTCAGTGCTTAATGTCTCACCCTTGCCTCCTCACACATGGATTATCTTCCAGTCTGTTTGAGGTTAAGGTTGCCCTCCAAGCTAATGTTTCCCCCACATATTCTACCACTAGATAATTAGCAAAGCTAACCATTAAGTATTTTACTGACTCTGTAATTACCTTTGATTAGTGTATCTTTAAAACCCTTTGGATTTCCCAGTTGTTTCTGTGAGTAGGAAACTATGTTTCTGAAAAGACTGTCATTGCAGAACAGTTACCCCTTATGGCCACAGCCTGCATTTGTTACCTATAGGAAGACCTGAGCAAGGATGACAGACCTCAGATATCACTTCTGGGGTGAATGCTGCATTGATTCAGCAAAAGCCAAAGGATTGTATTTGGATTGTGAATGGGTTTTCTTCCTTCTTCTTTTTTAAAGCAACTGAAACAGCCAGCAAAGTTAAACTACTGCTTTAAATTGGTTAACTGGAGTGTCTGCTGTCTCTCCTGGCATTTATTCTCCATGCTTGATACATAATTTCCTCTCAGTTTTGGCAGGAGACATCATCAATTCATCCATTAATTCAGCAATTGGAGAGCAGTGATGGAAAGAGCTCTGACACTTGGCAGAGAACTGATATACCACAAGTGTCTTGCCTCTCTGCTTCCCACTGCCCCTGCAGCTCCCAAAGGGGGAGGCAGAAATCCTGGAGAGCTGGAAAAGTTCAAAGCCTTCCAGGACTGTATTTTACCTTTTCTATACCTTTGAGCCAAGCTTGCAGAAAGTGAGGAACATCTTAAAGAAGACAGGTTACTCTTAGCAGGTAGTTATAGTAATCCTGGGTCCTGAACATGTGGCATGGTTAAACTCCAACTGAAAACAAAGTACCAGGCAGCTGCTCCTCACTTCCCTCTCCCTGCCCTCTCTGCCCTGGTGGGATGGGGAGGAGAATCAGGAGAAAAAAAGGAAAATTCATGGGTTGAGATAAGAACAGTTTAATAATTGAAACAAAGTAAAGTAATATAATAATAACAGTAATAAAAGGGAGAGAAAGAGAGAGAGAGACAAATGATGCACAATGCTGTTGTTCATCTCCTGAGCTACGATAGGCTCCCCTTCCAAGTAACTCCCCCAATTTATATACTGGGCATGGTGTTCCATGGCATGGAATGTCCCTTTGGCCAGCTTGACCATGGATATCCCTTTGGCCATGCTCCCTCACAGTTTCTTGTGCATTTCCTCAGTGGCAGAGCCTGGAAAACTGAAAATTCCTTGACTCAGGGTAACCCCTGCTCAGCAACAACCAAAACATCCATGTGTTACCAACACTGTTCTCATCTTGAATCCAAAACACAGCTACTAGGAAAAAATGAGCTCTATCCCAGCTGAAACCAGGACGACGTATTCAAATGAAGATCTTGTTTATGTTTTTCTTTGCGGATTTTACATTTTTTTCTTGTAGTAACACATGAGAGGGACTTCCCAGGTTTTCTGTCAGTGGTCACTGTGCAGTCCCTCTCAAAAGGCCTTTTGCAATTCCCTTATATTAAATCTTTATTTCCCTAACTTAAGCAGGTTAAATCTCCTATGGAAGGTCATAGTTTTGCAACCCTGCCCCCGAAGTCTCCCTCTCATGGTGGCACAGCAGACGAGGACAGTTTTGGTACCCGCAAGGCCAGATCCTCCTTCGGCCGAGGCTTTTTCAAGATAAAGAACAACAAGAGGACTGCAAGTGCCCCCAATCTGGGTAGGTACCATGCATCTGCATGCAGACCCTGTGCATTTTGAAGGGCCTTAACAACACCTGTAGCTTTCTTAAAAAGCAGGAAGGCCAGCCTTAGTCTCACTGTGACTTTGTGGCATTTTTCTCAGTAGGATGTTTAGGAAGTATCAAACAACAAGAAAACAAAGCACTGATGTGATGAAGTGTTTGATCTGGTTCAACTTCTGCTGTGATGTTTCCCCTGGGACCTTGCAGGGGGTTGCTGCTGTTTTGAAATACTGGCTGTCTGGCAGTAGTTCACACAGGGGATTTATGGGCTTTTTTCTCCCCTAGCTCCATCCTCCGTTTATCTTTCATAAGATATTTCATATGTGCAGAAATGGAGCAGCAACACTTAGTCTTCCCCTTTGTTTTTTTTGTATTTAAGCAGCTTTGCAAAAGGGATGGTGACAACAGGAACAGGATTGGCAAGTCATTCAAGTTTAGGTAGATTTTTGAGCTATAATGGAGGAGAGTTGTTTTGGTGTTGTTATTTGGTGACATTTGCATATGACAAAGAAATAAAATGTTCTGCTTAATGCAGAAGCTGTTGTTGCCATCACCTGAAATCCTTACATTTACTGCTCTGCTGTAGCAGTCCTTCCTTTAACACTGCTGATGCTTTTGAGAATGCACGCAGGATCACTCTTGAGGAGAAAAGACAATGCAGAAAGAATCTGCCTTGCATAATATATCTCCTAAGGAGTCTTTCTGCTGTGCCTTTTGCAACCGGACTTGTCTATCTTTTATTGGCCTTTTTAGCCACCAACGCGCTTGTAACAAACGTGGGTAGAGCCCCTTCCAAATCTTCGTTCACGAAGCCCAGCCATGATGTAGCAGTCCTTCCACTGTTGTGATGAAAGCATCCATGAGTCTTGGCATTCAATCTACTGCCAGTCACCTAAAGTTTTAGTTTCTCTCTTGCACCAAATTTAGGGATTTAGCTCTCTCTTTCAGAAACCTGAAGGGGGATAGCTTCTGCTTTGTTGAACAGAAGTGTCTCCTGTTCTTACTTATCCCAAGACAATTTTAGACTTTTGTTCAAAGCAAGTAACATACCCACACATTGATCATACATTGCCCATATTTTCCTGTGACACACAGCCTGGGAACTTGCTAGCTCCCGGTCTGTTCTGAGGGGTAGACTCTTTGCTTTGGTTTATTTAATGTGTGCTTTTGTGAGATCACCTGTTTCATCCTGGAATCAATGTGTAAAGGCTGTCGTAAAGGATTGGAAGATGGGTCATGTAAATCAGGGCCCTGTGAATTTGCATAAGTTATTTATGTTATCCAGGTCTCAGTGCTTTCATGAGCTGCTGTCCAGATATTTGCCACTGCACAGGAGTCACACTCAGCCCTGAGTGTGTCCTGAAGCAGGTGACCTCACTGCACCGAAGTGACTGCACAGAGCTCTGCTCCATTTCCTTTCTGTGCAAGGGGATTAGCAGTGGATTGGTGAATTAGCAGTGAATTCGGCATTCATGTGGCGCCTGTGTCTCATGTACCTCCCTCCCTTTGTCTCGTATTTTGTTGACTTGTTCTGAACTGTGTTTTCCGTTGTCCCTCTGCGTGTTCCCTCCTGTTGTGTGTGCCTTGTTTGGATCTCTGAAGATCGCAGTCGAAGTGCAAGTGCACCTACCTTAGGTACGGTAATCCTGCATGTCTTGCCTCTACCAGCCCTGGGCTGTGGCTGCTGCTAATGGCTGGTTATGGCCACACACTCCTCAAACACCAACTACACACAAGAGCTCTGCACCCAGACTTCTTCCCATCACTAAAAGGAGTTTTTGCGTAACATCTGCCCTCTGCTAAAAGTCAGCTGTGCCATTTCTCAGTGGCTGCTACTAATGAGAGAGATTGCGGGTTAATTTGCCATGACTTTGAGCCCAAAGTTACCCACAGACCCAGGGAGCAGCTGAGAATCGGTGGTGTTTAAATGCCAGAGGCACCTTGGTGCTCCCATCTGTCCTGGATCCACTGGAAGAGTTTAAAGAATGAGGAAGTAGGGAATGTGGGAATGGCCTGAAACTGTGTCAGGGGAGGTTCAGGTTGGATCTCAGGAAAAGGTTCTTCCCCCAGGGGATGACTGGGCACTGAACAGGCTCCCCAGGGCAGTGGGCACAGCACCAAGGCTGACAGAGCTCAAGGAGTGTTTGGACGACGCTCTCAGGCACAGGGTGGGATTGTTGGGGCTGATCTTTGCAAGGCCAGGAGTTGGACTTAATGATCCTTGTGGGTCTCTTCCAACTCAGCATATTCTATCATTCTGTGATATTTCCCAGGCATTCATTTAGGGGAATTCCAGGGGGAAGGGTGAGTAGTTCCTCTTCTAAGGTGTAGTTATATTTATTATATAATAAAAAGCGAGAAATAATTGGGTCAGATGGTGAAGGAGCCATTCACAGAATGAGTAAAAACCAGTCTTGTAATGTGAGCCTTTCCTGAGTGGTTCTGGGTGGTGAGCCCTGCAGGGCCCTACCTTAGCCAGCAGAGCTGTGTTGGTTGGGGTGGTGGTGCAGCCATGCAGGGTGTCCCTCAGTGACAAAGGGACCAAGTGATCTGAGCCCTCTCAGTTTCCCACGTGTGACCCCTTATGTGTCAGCTGTTCCAAGATACAGTGTCAGTGCACCAGAGGGAGCCAGGAATGAGGAGCAAACATTGCAATACCCGCAAATCTCTGCTACTAATGCACCCGACCTTGTCCTGGTATTCTCTCTCCAGAATGCTGTTTAAATGTGTTTTTTTCCTAAACTAGCACTTCATCTTACACAAGTAAAGCAAAAACCACGAATGCCACAGCCTGATTCCATGTTAGTGCTGTCTCCCACTGGCAGGATCCTTGTGTTCCATAGTGGTCAAACTGAAGTGCCTGGAAAGAATCTTTTATTTGACCTTGTTGCTTCACTGCAAGGTTTGACATCTGAAGCATCGGTGGAAAATGGGACATGTTCAAATGTATTCTGGCTGAATCATCTAAACTTTGCCCAGCAGAAGGACCCACTGGCAGAGCCTAAATGTTTTTGCTGGTCGTGCTCTGCCTTGATTCATTGTTTGCTTCCCTTCTGGAAGTCTGAGAGTCCATTTCAAAAACCACTGATGGTCATTTAATGGTCATTTAATTACACAGCCATGTTAAAAGATGGTAGAAGTGATTACAGGCCTGACTGTCAGCCTACTGCAGACTGCCTTGCCACAGCTGCTTCATCTGAACAAGCTCGTGCTGGCACACCTCTGCTTGTGTAGCCTAGTAGATATTGCAGTTCTTTTAGTTTTCTTTTTAAATGCTCTTAAAATTGTTTTTTTCTCTGTTAGTTTAGCTTTTGTGACGACTTTCCCTTTGGGGACAGGAGCCCTCAGGTTTGTTGTTGTAGAAAGCAGCTACAGATCAAAGATTTAATGGTTTTATAGTGGGTGATAATGTGTGGGGTCTCTAATCAGAGGTGCTTTGTGCATCACTCAGAAGATCTGGTTCAGACAGAGCCTAAACTCCCTGATGTTCCTCTGCAGAGGAACAAAATATTCCACAGTTTGCAGCAGTGAGGGGAAAAGGGCCTTTCCCCCAGAGCAGGAGTTTTATTGCTGGAGTTTCTTTGCCATGGGAATGAAATACTGCAGGTTATTGGGAAAGATGTCTGCAGGGAAATTATTTGGTTTTCTGTGCTGTGGAGAATCCTGGTTTGGTTCCCTGCCATGGCACTGAATTGTTTCTGGGCATCCATGTGCCTTGGCTCTGTCTGTGAAAGGACTGTAGGAGCACTCCCTGAGGAAGAGTAAACTTGGGATTTAATTGACTGATTGATTAAGGAGGTATTTTTTGCCCACCTGGTACAGAGCATTGCCCTGTAACGTTACCAGCCAGGCCCACAAAGGAGGATACATGTTGTTTCTCCTAAATTTTCCCATCCCTCTTTGCCCCATTTTCTTAATATGGTGGCTCTCAATAATTTTAGCAGGAGTCATTCCCAAGTTCAGGAGTGTGTCTGTACAGTCCCGCACAAGTGGGTCTTGACAGAGATGTTGTTTTCTAACAGCTGAGACGGAGAAGGGATCTGCAGATCACTTGGATCTGGCTGGCTTGCCCCCCCACCCAAAGGAAGCAGATGGTCTACAGATGACACCACCTTCTCCAGATTCCAGGAAAAAGGCCAGGGGGATCAAAAAGTTATTTGGAAAGTAAGTAAAAGATGAGAGATGACCATTCTCCAGAGCTGGGGTTTGCTGGGAACACATCTTCCCTTCAACATGTGGCTCCATCATTTACTGTCCCAAGAGCAGGAGCCTGTGTAGCATTTTAGAGAAGTAATAGCAGGTCGAGGGCAGGTGGAAGAAGAGCTACAAGCCCTGTAAGAGATCTTGCCTACATTGATTGCAGTTGCCTTGTCCTTAGCCAAATGTGAACATGCTTACCTCCTTTAAACCAGGCTTAGGAGAAGTCAGTCTACCACCTTCAACCCCGACGACATGTCCGAGACTGAGTTCAAACGAGGAGGGACGAGAGCGACGGCGGGGCCACGGCTGGGCTGGTCTCGAGACCTGGGACAGTCCCACAAGTAAGACAAGTGGTGCCAAGTGTGCTGGGGCTTGATTTCCCAGCTCAAAGGAGAAGCTCAGTGCCAAACATTCCCTCTCCTGGCTCTCCTTTGAGAGGTGACCTTTGTGGGGTTTGAGGTTGGGTGGGTGGTGGGGTCGTTCTGCTGAGCTGCAGGAGTGCAGCTTCTTTGTTCTGATTATATTTTCCATTTTACACAGAGGAAGGAGCATTTGCTACACACAAGTTGATCAGCCTCTTTGCCTTTAATTGTTACAGAATTGTTTGTCTGTTTTCATTGAACCAGGATGTGAGCCCTCACATGGCAGTGACAGATACTCCTCCAGTACCTTTCCTGCTGCACTTCCAGGGATTAAAGGCTAAAGTGAAGCATTATGGTCTCTCTTTGGTGTTTTAGCCATGCTAAGCAGCAGAGGCGGTTGGTTTTGGTAGTATTTATTGTGATAGTAGCAGCAGATCAGCAGCAATTAGCACTTCATGGTGCTGATGATTCTGAAGGAAACACATCACAAGCCTGCCACGATGCATGTTCCCCCCCAGAGATTGTCCTAGCTCCCACAAAATATGAATTAGACTTAGATTTTGGCTTTCTTGGAGATTTGAGGCACAGGATTTATTAGTCTTTTTTTTGGTGAATCTTCCACAGTGAGCTGGACATGCCGTTCGCAAAGTGGACAAAAGAGCAGGTTTGCAACTGGCTCCAGGACCAAGGGCTTGGCTCCTACATAAATAATGGCAGGCAGTGGATACTGTCTGGGCAAACACTCCTGCAAGCTTCTCAGCAGGATCTGGAAAAGGTGAGAAACACTAGAAGCAATCCTTTCAGTTAAAGGTACAAAAAAATTGCTGTTTCTCTGCGTGTAAATCAGGTGCACCTAGTAAAAAATGTAAACAAGGTGAGTTTTCAAAATAACTGTCATGTGCAGTGATGCCAAATCCATTTCTTTCTGGTTGAAGTTTTGTAGAAATTTAATGCTCTGGAATGAAGGTAATAATTACAAATATGTTATTTAACTTCATGAAGGTGGATGTATCAATTGACTATGGCACTTTCTAAAAACAGGTATGTGAGAGTGCCTCATTATCATATGGATTTGTAGCCCTGATTCATGGTACAGTTGTTTTATGCCTGTGTAAGAAAGGTGTAAAAAGTTTATGGTTTGTTCTGATTGAATTTCTGCCCATTTTATACAAAGAGAATGAGGATTTGTTACACACAGGTTGATCAGTTGATGTCTCTAATTGTTACAGAATTCTTTGTCTTTTTTTCTAAAATGAGGAACAAAATAAAAAGGTCGATTCATTTTATACTTCTAATCCACAGTATTCACTACAGTTTGAATTTCCACCTCTTAAAAAATCACTCTCCTCATGAAATAGTAAGCCTGTTTACTCAGTTAGGTAGTTACACTACAACTGGAATAAGAAAAGTGTGATGTGAACATAATGAGTTGTAATAGTGTTATCATAGGTAACATTAACCAGCAAGCACTAGTGAAAGTGTGTATGGGATTAAAGAGATCCTGGAATGTCTGCACTTGCAGCTAAACTGGGAAAGGTGTTATGCCTTTGGAAGCTTTAATGAATTTCAGTAGTGCCTGGGACCTTCATGTGCTCTTAACTAAATAATTCCTTTAACCTTACCTGCCTAAATGGGAAGGTATTTTTCTGAATGCTAACATGGGTTATATTGTGGGATTTTTTTTAACCTGTTATCAGAATACTGTGGCTGACATTTTCATACAATTTGGAATCCATCACTTCTTGAAATTAATTTATGATTAATTAACCCACCACACCACCAGGCCTTTTCCTAGTGCTGAACATGTGCTAAAATGATGCTGATATTAATCAAATAAAAAACACACCTGCCAGGTCAACAGCAAGTGCTGTGTACAGTGTGACTCTCTGGAAGCCTTTGGAATTCAGTAGAAGGAGAAATAATACAGTATTGTCTCTAGATTTGCTGCTTTCCTTCCTCTCACAGGAGCTTGGGATAAAGCACCCATTGCATCGGAAGAAGCTCCAGCTTGCTCTGCAGGCACTGGGATCTGAAGAGGAAAACAACCATGGCAAACTGGATTACCACTGGGTTACCAGTAAGATTTTATTCCATGCTGAAGCAATGTCTTTAGATGGGGATTCCTAATCATGGCTAACTTGGGGCTCAGAAGGTGAGAAACACCAACTGGTGCAGGTAACTTGGCTCCCACACTGACAGCAGTGTTTGTCTCTGCCTCAGGGTGGCTTGATGACATTGGCCTCCCCCAGTACAAGACCCAGTTTGATGAAGGGAAGATGGACGGCCGAATGCTCCATTACATGAGTGTGGTGAGTAAATGGCTTCTTTTTTTTTCCCTGACATCCTTTCCATGTTCTTAGTTTGTCCCCACTGAAGACCAGGTGAATGGTTCATTAATCAGGACTTCCAACTTTCTGGGTGATGGCTGGGAGGAGGCTGAGGGAGGTCAGAGGGTATGCCAGAATTCCCTATTTGTCCATGTGCTTCATTGCAGTGTTTAAAGGGCCCCTTCAAACTGTAGTGGGAGTCCTGTGTTAAGCTAATGCTAATAGCTGTAACCTATAGAAAACAGTTACTACTACTCACCTGCAAGTATCTCCTGTATTCTTTCCAACTTTAGAGATAGTGTCTTCACACAATCTTCAGGTGGAAGAGCAAACTTTCTAAGCAAGAACTCAGATTTATGCATGAGAAATGGGCAATTTTGCTCTTAACAGTTGTGCTCAGGCAGGGTTTGCACACAAAAGTGTGCAGATGCTGTGGTTACTGTTCATATTGTTATTAATAGAAGTAGGTGGAGTTTTTTTTCTTCAGTGAGCAAGCATTCTATCTGCTTACTTATTCATGTGGATGCTTAGGTGAAGAAAACCCAAGCAATTTCCTTTGAAGAAAATTGCAGTTTGAAGAACCAACTTGTTTGAAAACAGGCTACACTTAATAGCTTTTGCATTTCAAAGTGAGATTCCAGCTCCCCACTCAGACCATTTCAGTCAAATGTTAAATACTCACTGCTTTAATGATGGGATTTAGTGCTTATTTTCTTTAGTTTTTTGAGTTCAGACATTAATATAAAAGTAGGAGGCAAATTGTTTCTTCTGCTTAATTCTTGGAAATGTGATGCCCACAGGCTCCATTGAGCTTGATCTTGTATTGGAAGACTTTACTACCAGTGTTAAGTGGGTGAGGATTGACTGCAGATAAGCTACAGCATGGGCTGTATAACGTAACGGAATTAGTATTATTCAAGAGTCTTTTTTGTATTGAAAAAGGAGAAAAAGTAATAGGTGGACAGAGGAAGGACATGTAGCAGGAGCTTTGTTTTTTAAATGGATATTCTTCCTATCACTGCCCTTTAATTGTAGATATTTTTAGACAGAGTTTAACCATCAAACTATGACAACAGATTCACTGTAAACAACCACCTAAATATGCAAATTATGAAACTAATACTTGTTAAGATTTTATAAAGTTACCCTGCCCCAAAATTAATAACAGTAGCTGGAAAGCTGTCCTAGCTCTAATGCAGTCCCTGAGGATGTGTCATCTCATCCTGTCCCCTCCTTGTTGCTCCAGGTTTCCTGTACTAAGCCCTGTGCCCCGTGTGAAGAGCATCACCCAGGAGGTCATACGGTGCAACACGGGGAGCTTTTGTTTTGGGACAGATGGTTTGCTGCTAATCACCTGTCTCACATATTAAAATTTTACCTCTGATGTGTCAGATGTGCCCTTTTCAGCTAGTCTCCTCCAGTCAGATGCTGGTTCCATGAATAAGCACATTTATGTTTATTAACTCCTCCTTCCTCTTTGACAGGATGACCTGCTGTCCTTGAAGGTTGTCAGTGTCCTCCACCACCTCAGCATCAAAAGAGCCATCCAGGTGTTGAGAATAAACAACTTTGAGCCCAACTGCCTGCGCAGGAGGCCATCGGATGAGGTACTGTTTTACCCTGAAACTGTGGAGGGAAATCCTTTAGGATTTTATCCCTAATGTTTCTGATTGTTCCTGCTCTGCTTTCTCCTCCTTCCTATTTCATTCTGTTTCATTTTCAGTTCCCTTTTTCTCATGTTGCCTTTCCAGCCTCATGCTCTGACATCACTTTCTTTCCTCCACCTGCCCTGACCCCAGACTCGTGTCCCCCTTGCCAAGTCTCCTGCTTCTCTTCCAAGCCAACAGCTGGGCTGTTTTGGCCCAGCGGCTGATGTGCTGTCTGGAACATAAATCATCTTGAACTCAGTGCACTGCTGCTATGAGTCTTGTGTAACTTTGGCAAATTGATGGCAGTGTCAAAATTTTCTGTGTAGGAGGAGCTTGGCCCTGTTACCAGATGGGAGACTGCTACCAGTTTGTTTTGGAAGCAGCAAAGGCTGGATAGGGCAATGGATGACGAAACAACCCAGACTCTTGGATTTAGATTCACAATGTGTATCTGCCAGAACAGCACAGCAACTTGTGGAACCAGTTGCTGAAGCTTAAAACATCCCCATCCCCACCTTAGAATTGCTGCAAGGTGGCAATCTAAAAAGTTGAGTTGGGATGTCTCCTAACCTGCCCGTTCCTCCTGTACACAGAGCAATGTCACCCCTTCCGAGGTCACCCAGTGGACCAACCACCGTGTGATGGAGTGGTTGCGCTCCGTGGATCTGGCAGAGTACGCACCCAACCTGCGGGGCAGTGGTGTGCACGGAGGACTCATGGTAAGCTTTTGGGATGGCTTGTTCCTTATTATTTAAAAAAGAAAAAGTGGTTGAGAATCACCAAAAGTTCTGACACTGCGTTCACTGCACACGTCTCATCTTCTTGTTCTACTTCATAAGTAGCAACATTTATTCCTCTATGGTTTAAAGGATGTGAATGTCTGTGGCACAATTAGTGTAGTTTGGTAATCTGTATTCCCCTCACAATTTAATTCTGGTATGGCATTCTCCACCTCCTGTCCTCTGATCCTGCACACTGGTGGTAAACAGCCACTGTCTGCCTTCCCAGACCTGGATATGGTTTTCTTTTAGGAGGGAAGCTTGTCACTTCTGTAAAATTTGAGATTTCAGTGTCACACCAGGATTGTTTTTAATTGCTCTGGCATCAGATACTCCAGACAAGAGATTTATAATTACAGAAGTTTGTTATGGTGATTAAGAGTTAATACCCTGCTCCAAACATTTTGTCTATTTTCCATGATTCCTCTGGCTACCTTGTCCAGAGTTAAAGAGGATGGCGGGCAAACATTCTGTGGCAGCTTCACGCATTACTTCAGTTAAGGGTGAATTTATCTGTTCCTTTCTGCTAGTTTGTTTCTATTTGTGAAGGAAAGCCTGGAGGTAGCATTTTGGGAATCCTTTCTCTAGTTAACTCTCTTTTCTCTCTCTTCATTGTACACTTTCTCTAAAATACAAAAACTCCCAAAGTAGGGAATGACCAAGCTGATGTCCTTGAGACTTCATCAGATAGTTGCTGTCTTCAGCTCAACTCTGTGGTTTGATTCATAGGTTTTGGAACCTCGTTTCAATGTAGAAACCATGGCACAGCTGCTGAACATCCCCCCGAACAAGACGCTGCTGAGGCGGCACTTGGCGACTCATTTCAACCTCCTCATCGGGCAGGAGGCCCAGCAGCAGAAACGAGAGGCCATGGAGTCCCCAGACTATGTCCTCTTGACAGCAACTGCCAAAGTAAAGGTTGGTCACTAGTTCTGGGCCATGTGTGAGGTTCCAGGATCTCCAGTGTGCTGGTTTTGGAGGGCACTTCAGTAAGGTCTGAGAAAAGGGGCTGGTTCCTAAGGAAAGAAGGATGAGAGAAGGACCTGGCAGATTTGGGTTTGACACTTGTGTCTGCCATGAACACACCACACCTCAGCCTCTCCTGTGCACAGATGAGAGGTAGCACTCGTGTTGTCCTTCTGTCTGTCCTGTAAGGTGTTTGGAGGGAGATTGTCTCCTACTGTTTATAGGCTCATGGTCTAATGTAGTGGAATTTTGACCTCATTTTAGATCCTTTAAATGGTGTTTTCTTAACAGTGGTACAATAAGAGAACACACATTGTCCTTTCTGCCATGAATTACAGCTGTTTGGAAGATCTGTTTAGGAGACAAGTGGGGTTTTGGCCCTTCATCATTGAAACATCAGTGCAAGAGTAGGAGATCTGTTAATTATTAGCTGATTCTCTAACTTCGTGTCAAATTTCTCTTCACTTTTAAGCCAAAGAAACTTACCTTCAGCAATTTTGGGAGCCTGAGAAAGAAGAAGCAAGATGATGGGGAAGAGTATGTGTGTCCCATGGAGCTGGGGCGGGCATCTGGGAGTGGATCAAAGAAGGGCTTTAAGCCTGGCTTGGATATCCGAGTATATGACGATGATGATTTGGACAGGCTGGAGCAGGTAAGCCAGTTCTGGCAGTTTGGAGTCCCTGCTGTGGCAGGACAAGGGGGAATGGCTTCGAACTGAAAGAGAGGAGGTTTAGATTGGATATTAGGGAGAAATTCTTTATTGTGAGGGTGGAAAGGCCCTGGCACAGGTTGCCCAGAGAAGCTGCCCCATCCCTGGAATTGTTCAAGGCCAGGTTGAATGGGGCTCTGAGCAACCTGGGATAGTGGAAGGTGTCCCTGCCTGTGGCAGGGGGTTGGAACTGGATGGTCTTTAAGGTCCCTTCCAATGCAAACCATTCTATGACTATGATGCAGCTAATTTATTATTGATTCATTGTTCATTCTCTGGTTTTTATAGATGGAAGATTCAGAAGGGACGGTGAGGCAAATAGGAGCGTTTTCTGAAGGCATCAACAACTTGACAGTAAGGCTTAAAAGTGGTGTCTAGGGGTCTGTGGAGTAAGATCTGTTTCTCTAAGATAGATATAAACCCCTTGGCAGACATAAATAGGGTCAACCTTCACTGTTCTCTCGTTTCCTTTCCAGCACATGTTGAAAGAAGATGAAATGTTTAAAGACTTTGCGACCCGCTCTCCCAGCACCAGTGTAACAGATGAAGACTCCAATGTTTGATGGTAACCACCAGGCACCGGCAAAGGCTCACTTTCCTGTGTGCAGGAGCATCATCATTTGATGTGATGGGCAGCAGATAATGTACATTACAATTGCTCTTGCTTGTGTTTGTTCGAAGGAACATTGTGGGGTGGAGAATTTTAAAGAGAAAAGGAGATTTAAAAAAAAAAAGGTGCCTACTCTAAAGTTGCCATAAAAGCCACCCAGACACTGGTGAATGGTAATCATTTTAACTCTATTTAATGTACAAACTGGTGATATGTTTCAGAGTGTTGCATTTAAATTTATGTGGTATGATAGTGCTCTTTTTTGCTTATTCATGGTCTCAGATAATCCTTTATACTGTTTGAAAGTAACAGAAGGTGTTAGGTAAAATACTGAGTCTGTAGATATCGTGCATCAGCTTTCTTTAGGCTCTCAGCTGAAAAACAGAAGTTACTGCTCCTTTTCAAGTGCTTTTGTTTGGCACAGATACCAGTTCTGCCCTTCCTACCGTATCCAATGTAGGATTTTAGTCATCTGTGCCCTGCATAAGCTGCCCAGTAGCTCTTGACTGTTGCTCTTATTTTTATACTGTTTTATAAAAAAAAAAAAAAGAAAAAAGAAGTATATGAAGTACATATAAAAGCAAAAATTTAAATTTTGTTGTGAGACAGAGTGATGGAAAGTTGAAGGTGTGTGGGGAAAGGGGAGAAGGTTGTAAAAAAATTATGCCAGTTTGCAGACCAGCTGGTTACTGGAAAAGGCAGGCTGACCTTTGGAACTGTTTGCTTTCGTTGCTTTTTACTAAGTGCACAGTCTAATGATCTTCCATTTCAGATGAAACAATTCTAAAGCACGTTTTTTCTAGCAGTGACCTGCATGAAAACTGCACATTTTAAAATGTCTTCTCTCTTGATCCCAGCAGCAGTAGTTAGAACATTCAACAAGGTTGTTAACACTTCTGTGACTTAAAAAATTCCAGTGAAGTTGAGAGTACTCCCTGCATATGGAAGGGATGTTTCTGTGCTATAACTAACGTGAAGATGGTGTAGTTGCAAAAAAAAATAAAGTTATATAGAGAAATGTATAGGAAATATATTATTTCATATTATTAAACCTAAGGTGGGAATTTTCCTCCAAAATTCAAATATCAAACATGTTCCTCATCATTAAAGCACAGCTCCGCTGCTTTTGAGGATAATCAGGTTTTAAAGTTCCGAACTAGCCAGTGGAAATCTCATGTCAGACTTTGGGTATCGTGAGCAAACAAAAAGAAAACCCAAGTAACTTTTTATTACAGTGGTTCTTTGTATGGTGTTGAACGTTGCATGTATTGTGGCACAATGGCATGAAGCTGCTTTGCTTTGTAAAGGGGAAAAAAAAAAAGTCCAGCTGGAAATGTTCCTTGCAGTGGTGTGTTGCTTTTCCAAGCATTTGTCACTCGTTTTGTTGCTCTCTGTGCTGGAAGTGAGACTGTTCCTGGTGTGGAGCAAGGGATTTTAGGTTTGTGCTGACTGTGAGGATGTTCATAAAACAAAGCTGGGAAAGGAAGAAAGGTTCTTTCTGGGGCTTCCAGGGAACTCCCATCAGATGCTGGGGTAGATCAGAGACATATTCTGGCATTATATTCTTGTGACCTGATGACCTGGATCTTTGAAGGATGTGCAGGGGAGGTGATTGTTGATGTTCCAGGATGAAAAATTTTGATTATTGATGTATCAAGATGAAAAATCTGATGTGGACAGGTTGCGCTATACATAATGTACACTGCCATTTTTGGTAACTGGAGCCAGGCAAACAATCCATAAAGTCTCCATAAAATACTTTTTGCTGCTTACCCTTTATCTACAAACAGATCACAACTGATGCTTTAGTCAACATTCCTGACTGATTCCTGTGCACGAATAATTTGCTGTTATTTCTTCCTCTGCAGTCTTGGGGGTGTTTGAGCTGTTTTATTTGGGCAGAAATACCACACTGTGTAACATGCAGATGGTTGGGATGTGGATTCAGGCCTCACTTCCTGTGAATGCTCTGCAAAATTGTTATTATTTACATGGAAGTTGAGCATAAAACCCTGTGGAAGCACTGGGAGAATGTGGCGCAGGCTTCCAGCCAAAATTCCTCCAAATTGCTGGCTGGTGAACAGCACTGGATATCCATAGGGGGGAAAAAAGGGGGCCTCGTGACACAATACTGTGTGTGGAACTAGGCACAAGTATACTCTCCAACGTCTCTTCAGTCCAGTGTTATCAGTGACTGCAGGGATGGTTTATTTAAGTCCAGTGTAAGCAGAATTCTGCTCCAAACAACCCTTTCCTGCACTTGCCAACCGTCAGCCAGGTCATCCCCTTGGAGCTGCCTATCATCTGAACCTGGGTTGTTTTATGGGGTGGGAATATGAGAGCAAGTGATAAAGTCAGGAAGTTTTCGTGTGTGCGCCCTTGATACCGTCAGGGTGTTTTCATTTGTTTGAAAAGGGCAACATAACTGCTGTGTATTGCCATGTGAAATCCAATAAAATCTGTGGCAAATGCCAAGTGTTTCTGAAAGCTGGTTCCCTTTTTCCCCTTTAAATTTTCCTAGGAAGCTTGTTTTGTTCTATTTAAAAACTGACGGAGGGAAAAGGGGCAAAATCACACATTTTTTGTTGACTCATTAGTTTGTTAGTAATGCCTGTAGAAGAGCTCAGCTAACAGCTAAGAAATCAACTATCCCAAGATGTTTTAGTTACTTCTGGGATCCAGATTTAAACCATCTTAGGTTGTTTGGTATGGTGTGATGAGAAGGGCTTCACCATTGCTCAGTGTCCTCTGGCCCTTCTTGCTGTAAAAAAAGTGTCTCTGTGGTTCCAGGTGTTGCTCCCCTCAGCAGTCAGGAGCTCTGGCTGCTTTGCTAACAAGAGCTGAGCTTCTCCAAACTCCATTTTGTTGCTGTGGTGCAGGTATAAATGATGGTCAGTTGCTTTGCTCAGTGGAGCCTGGATAATGGGCCGGAAAATGCAGAACCCTGGTCTCATGACCATCACTGCCGTGGTTTTGTTCATCAGTTCAGTGTTTCAGTGGGAACACTGAGTATAAATAAACACTTTGAAACTTAGAGTATAATAAGCTTCTATCTGTTTGTTTGCAGGGTAGAGGGAAAGACAGATATTTTTCAGTTAAGAGCCTATGAAGATTAAACCCAACTTTTTTCTGTTAGCTTAAAGTACATATTACACTTAGGAATGGAGAACTAATCCAGAAAAACTCTTCTGATTCCCATCCAAAAGGTGGATGGGAATCTCCTAAAGCCTGCATCCTGGCTTTAGGAGAGAAGTTGCATTTGCCCTACCTGAATGCTTTTTATACCTTGCACTGCTTTGTTGTTATGACTGTTCAGTGCAGATTTTATGCTTCACCTCAGCACTTTGGGGTTTTCATTTGCAGCAAGAGCTTTTTATTTGTAGCTGTATTTGATACTTGTGCATGGGGGTGCATTGACTGACTGAGCTTCCTTGAGATAATCCAGTTACAGGCAGCAACAGCAGGAGCTTCTCAGTTGGGCCAGAAGTCCAGCTGAGTCTGTGTACATTGCCATGGGACTACTGACAGGAGCAGCAGGTAATCCTGGGATACAGGCAACATCCCATCAAAAATGATCACATAATTTCAAGTACCCTGTAGCATTCTTCAGGGTTGGATGCATCCCCTTCTCTGGGTGCTTAAAAGAAAAAGGTTGTTTCATCTCAAGGAAACACCCAGTAGTGCCAATAAAGTGGCTTCTCTGTAATAGTCCTAGAAAGGAGATCAAAGGAGATAAGATCAGACTGGAAGGAGAAAACATCAGCCAGAATGGTGCCAGAATTAACAATAAGGAAAACAAGCACAGGTGAATTCAATAGGTGTGAAAGTTACTGGGCCTGTTGGGCTGGTTGGTGCTCAGTCAGCTGTGGAGAAACATACCCAGGAGAAAGCCTGTTTGCCCTGTGGGCTCAGAGAGCTCAGCTCTGCTGCTGCTACCACTGTCACCTGGAAAGCAGCAGGTACCCGTGTGCATGATAAACAGGTCTGGCTGAGCCCAGCACCTGCAGAACCTTTGTTGGAAAAGGAAGGGACTTCCACAAGGCTGTCTGCATGTGGAAATCGGCCAGAAGGTCTCCCAGGAGGACAGCCAGGAGGACAAGGCTGAAACTCTGCTCATCTGCAAAGTCTTCAGCCAGGGTGTGCTCCACGCTTCTCAGAGGCTGAAGGACTATCTTGGTTTTGTGGATCCTCAGAGCAAATTCCAACCAGCCACAAACACGCTGAGCGAGATCTTTTTGGTCAACTTCATCAGCTTCTGCATGGAGAAGGGAGCAGAGGAGCTCATTGTGACCAGCAAAATGACCAGGCAGCAGTCCTGCCTCTTCGGGGTGGACTGGATCTGGACTCTGTCGGGAGCTGACAAGCAGATCAAGCTTCAGATCGCCGTGCACGCTCTGCAGCTGGCAGAGCTTTTCTGTGCGGAAGGCGGCCCCGCGGAGGAGGAGGAGGATTGCTGCCGGGTAGCCGCGCTGGCAGACGAGTGCTTCCAAAACATGAGCCAGTTCGGGAAGCTGGCAGAGTTCTGCCGCCTGGTGGGGCAGGACTGCGTGGGCTTGTTCGTCGCGTTCGGCGTGCCAGGGAAGCCCAAGGACATCCGAGGAGTCCTGCTGGACGGTATTGCCAAGGAGGAGCAGAAATGCCGCCTGTCGGGCAGGAACGCGCTGCGGCAATTTGTGACCGGCACTGATAGCACCCTGCCCACGAAGGACATGCTGGAAAACTGCCTGGGCACAAACAGCGGGCTGAGGGAGGTGGGCAACGTGTACACAAACTTTGTGTAAACAGCAGAGGCAGCACAGGCTGTGTGAGGCTCAGCTCTGCCTCCCTCTCTTTTCTCCTCACATGCCATTCCCCCTACCTCCTTCTTCCCCACCTTCCCCCCGACCTGTCGCATTCCCTGAGCTCCTGCAGGAGCCAAGCTGAGTCAGTCTCTCCAAGTTTTAAAGCAACAGGACAGGCCTGCCAGAAAAAAAAGAAGTGTTTATAGAAGGCATGTTGTTTTTCCAGAACATTTTGTTCACCAGACATTGAGTCTTGGCTGGAGCTGGTGAAAGGTTTATCAGCCAGATCCTTAGGGAGGTCCTGGTAGATTTGACTCACGGCCTTTGTCTGCTGTGTGGCAAATTTTTTTCTGTACGAGGAGGGTGAGTCTGTACTAAAGAAAATGTTCTGGTGCTGGCCAAAGTGTAGCACTGAGTGTGAAGGATGATAACAGGGCTCAAAAACGCTGGCTAGGAGGAGGCAGCTGGTTCCCAACTAAAAGGAAAAGCCCCTTCCAGCATTAGAAATTGGCTCTGTGAGAAACCTGTTAATTACCTGCCCCCTAATTGGTGCCAAGCTCTGGAGGGCCTTAGAGCTGTGAGCAAAAACCAGGGCTGGGCCCAGCTGCAAAGTGTTTTCTCACTGAGTGGCTGTGGCAGGGCAAGGTGTGGCAGGGCAAGGTGTGGCAAAAGGCAGGGGCAGGTGTTAAGGGAAATTTGGAAAAAAACAAGCAGTGCAGACAAAACCCAGACCGGAGGTGGATGGGAGTCTTTACTTTTCAGAGGCAGCTCCTGACCACTCAGGCAGAGATCAAAAATCTGGAGGAGGCAAGAGTATTTCACTTGGAATTTGTTTTCAGAGGCTTAGGAGCCGATTGTGTTTATGGACTTGATTTATTCCATTTCCCTCACCTTTTAGTGGACTAAGTGAGACTCTTGGATCGTACAGTTATAATTACTTTCTTTCAGCCCCTGTTAACCAGTGAAGAAGGCCCTGATCCATTTCCAAACTGGTAAATTCACTTTGTTTACAAGCTGTCTGAATAGTGTGGTCAGTGCAAAACTCCTCTGCCTGTAGTTTCCTTATAATTTCAGTCACTTTATTTAACAGAACAAAAGGAATTTTGAAAGTTCATTCATCTTTTACTATTTCCTATTTGAATTTTAAGATGGGGGTAGCTGCAAGGACTAAGAAACACAGGCTGTTACTTGCACTGCCATTAAAAAAGAACCTAACGAGGCTGAGGCATCAGTGCCACAAGTGTTTGCAGCATTCCATGGCATAGGCAAGGAGCTGAAAGGGGAACTGAAATAAGACCAGAGAACTGTGGAATTTTTGATGAGTCACAAACAGAGCTGGGGATGGAGAAAGGAGTCCTTTCAGTCCTGGAATAACTTGTTGAGATACAATAGTGTCATTGTATTTTGTGTGTGTGGCTGGGTTTGGTGGGATGGAGGGGACAGTTCTAGTGTGTTACACAGACAACCTGCTATGGGGATATGTGCAGGGAGAACCTCCAGGATTCAGCAGGATTGGTATGTTGGTTTTTTTTTCCTGTTTAAACTAACATAACAATCAGTACTGGAGCAGGATTGATTGTTGTGTTAAAAAAAACCTGCAGAAAAGCTTTCTTTCATGTTAAATTAGTGTGAGTTCAGCTGTTCAGCTCTGTAGGAACACTGGATCTGTGAAAACTGCTTGGGCTTTTGGATGTTTTGCATGCCTTTGAAGCACTGGAGAGGGAAGGGGAAAATCAAAATGCCTGTGTAGAGTTTGAACCATGGGAGTTACACATTTGGGCAGCTGCTGATTTATGTCCTCCAAAGGGACTCTGGTACCTCAGAGATGTCCCTGAGGCTTGGTGTTTTATTTTGGGAGCTGGGGTGGCTGTGCCATACTCAGCTGGTCCAGAGCCCTGGCCAATTCCCAGGCCCAGGTGCCTGAGCTTAAACCCACAAGGCAAATAGGCAAAGAATGGTGAAGATGCACCACAGAGCATTTAACCCTGTAAATCTGACCATTCAGCCAAGCTGGGGCCTCAGCTCAGGTGACTCATAGCCATCCCCAGGTTCCTGCAACTGCAGATGCTGATGGACCAGGTAAGGTGCAGCCCCCAGCCAGTGAAAGCCCACGGGAATTTCTGTAATAAATAACATCAGGAAAAGCCAAGTGAAGGGGTTGGGTTGCTTGGTTGCTTCCACTGCTGCAAGGACTTTTGTTTCTATGGTTGGCTCAGCTTAACAGCCTTAACTGCAAGACATGATCTGGATAGAAGTTAATCACACTTGCAGGACTTTGCTGCAGCCCCTGCCAAAAAACTGGAGGAATACTCCTAATTACTAAATTGACTCAAAGAAAATAATAAAGTAACACGCAAAACCAACTTCTATCCTTGACTTGTTTAAAGGCTTTAGTACAGGGCCCTCAAGCAAAAGGGACTATGACACAGTTTTGGTTCATTAGATCATATAAAATCCCTCTTTTTATTTATTAAAAGAGCCTTATGTTGACAAGGAAGATGTACAAAATAAAGGTAAAAAGAGGAGGTTGGAGTGATAGGGAGGAAAACGGAGACAGGTCACTCCTTGATTCGGTATCTAAATACAGTTTTTGACCAAGCTCAAACAAGAAGATTAACACTTGAGTAAACAAATCTAACTTTTTTTTTTTCTCTTTTGAACCTTCATTTTATAGTATTTTACAGTTTATCTCTTACAAGGTTGAAGATATGTGCTCACACACAGGTGATTCACCTGCAAGATACTTTATTTCTTACACAGACATGAAAAAAAGCCAGTAGTTGAATGAACAGAGTAAGTAATACAAAATAGTTGATGCATCATCAGCTCGAGGGTTCTGGTTTGGTTCTTTTAATAAGAAAACATGAAAAAAAAAATCTGTGCATATCCCAGAATGATACAAACCAGCAGCTTCTCTCCTATTTCTGCTTTTTGCCTTCCATAAAAGGGACTGAAACTTAAAACTTGAGTAGTATTTCAACTTTGGAGCATTGTATTAAAGAACAAGTTTCAGAAGCACAAGTCAAAAATTGAAGACTTGAGGCAAACACTGAATTAATAAAACTAATAACAGCATTATCTAGTTGAGGTTCCTTAAATTAACTGTATCTTCTCCTTTTAATTCTTGATGAAAAATGAACCTTTTAAATACACAGTACCCATCTATTGTACAGGCACAAAGGAAAACACAGTAAGCTATAACCTCGAATTCCTACTGAATCTTTAAAAATTGGTACTATACACTGACACTGTGACCTAGCACCCCACAGTACTTCAGACATGACTAAACTCCCTTTCAGTCACTCTGATGTCATCATCAGAAACAAGATTTTTAGTTTCCTAGACTGCCTGCAGGGCAGCTCTAACCTCAGCAGCATCTCTGCTGTTCAGGAGCAGAAGGTCCGGCACACAAGGTGCCTTAAATTTTCCTTTTTTTTCTGTAAAAAAGTGTATTAAAAAATAAAAGCTAGAGCTATAGTAAACAGCTCCCAAGGAACAGCTTTAGATTCAGTGAGACATTTGAATTTGCTGTCAGTTTGGTGACTTAAGGCTGTTCCTGGGCATCCTTACCAAGGAAAACCCTCAGGAGCTTTGTCTGAGCAACATGGGATGCATTCCACACCCAGAGCTGGGCTACCTGCCAAAACCCACCCTGGCAATGAAACCTGAGCTCCCTTAAGTCCAAATCCATCTCTGGGAAACAATGAACAAAAAAAATCCCATCCAGTTTTCACTCAGCATTTTTTTCACACACAGAACAACTGCTTTTGTTACCCCTGTGCCACCACCCGCAATTTAAAAGTAAATACAAAAGTTAGTATTTTTTTCAGTATTCCACACACTTACAAGCAAACAAATTCCAGGGATTTGTGGAACAGTGCCCAAAGCCTCCTGCCTTCTTTAGTTTCTTTTAGTGCCCAGGGATGAGAACTGGGAAAGTGTTTGCATTTAAGAGAGGCTGTTCCAAAATACAAAGGAAACCCATTTTGTATCACTGCCTGCCTCTCTGTCTTGATTAACAAGGCAGCTTGAACAGCTTCAGTCATAAATAGTTAATTGGCATCCTTCAACTCAACAAGCATCTTTAAACTGATGATGCAAAGACCATGGATACAAGGCAAACATTCCTGGCCCTCATACTGTACAAGCTCCTCAAGGATTATAATTTGGCATAAGCAACATGAATAATCTACCACATTCTATTACTTCCATAGTTCATACCAAATAAAATCCTGGGTGTGCACAGTGTTAGGAAGTAGGATATTACTGCTGCCTGATTACAGAGCTAAGAAAAAGCATAAATGAGTGTGTGCTGCCCTGAGCAGGTGCACTGTGTTCCCTGGAGATGGAGCACACAGAGCACAAGGCACCACTACCTGTCCAGGCACAGCTTTAGTACAGCTGAGCTTGTGTGTCTTACTTGCCAGAGAGTCAGAAAATAAGCAGCATTTTTAAGGTAAATGTAGCTTCCCAGCACTGTGCATCAGCCCCCTCTGTAACTTTGTCCTGTTCCTTATTAAATGGTTTTTTCCTTCCCTTCTCCATAAGATCTCTGAATTACCAGTCATCTTTAGAAGGAGAACCTCATGTCCTTGGAGTAGCCCAGTTTGTCCAGGTTGGGAATGCAGGCATACTGGATCATTGGAGGGGGTCCACACATGAGGATCAGAACATCGTTTTGAGGTGGGGGTAGGTGATCTCTGATCATCTCTTGGTTCACAAATCCTTGGCTGTATTCCCAACCTGTTAAAAAAAAAAAAAGAAAGTGGGGAAAGGGGAAAAAAGAGGAAAAGACAGACACAGGTCACTTTAGAAAGGAGCAATCCAGCTGATAAAGTTGTTCCTGGTTGGAAAATGCTCACAGTGATAATCAGTTATACTGGGATATAATATAGTGAGGTCATGGGTTTAACCATCACATTCCCAGTCCTGGATGTCAAAAAGATTCTGACCCAAACCTTTGGGCACAGTAAGACTGACAGTTTTTTCTCCTAGTTTTGGTCTGATTTCACATATGAGAGTGAAAGTCTGCAGAACAGTCTTCAGGGGGGTCTCAGGTCAGTTCAAAATTCCCAAATATCAAAGAAAAGAAACAGTGATCAGAAATTCCAAGAGGACACTAATTGCACCTCAGTGCGTCCCTGTGTGAGGAATGATGCTACTGGGTGCATCCCGACATTCATTAGGCAAGCAATCGATCATTAACCTCAGGAATACACAGTGACATGCATGTCTCCTGTGAAACATGTGCATTAATACTCAGAAGTCACATGAAGTGGCAGTTTAGCTCTTACTTTCGGGTGCTTTGTCCACCGTGTACCAGCACTTAAAGCGACTGGGATTCTGAGCCTGGATCTCCTCCAGCTCGGAACGCAGCAGGATATCCTTCTCAGTCTGCAGGATGAGGAAAACAATGATCACACACTGCATCTGAGTGCAGCCCTCACATGACCACAGAACAGCAGCTACTCTACGAGTCCTGAGAGATGGAACAGATGATTCAACTCTGTTTTACAGGTTGAAGAGAGCAAACACAAGTTATTTCCATGCCTATCCTGTGGCAGAGCTAATAAAAAGGGTCATAATAACTTTCCCAAATCCTGACCATGCCACGCCTTCCCTCTAAAAATGAAACAAAGCAGAACTTGGATCCAAACACAGAACCACCACCTAATCAGGGAATCAGAAGAATAAAGCCCTTTTTAGCACTATTACAAAAGCAACTTTAATCAAAAAACTAATCACGAATGTACAGAAATACCTCCCTTTCACCTTTGCCAATTCAAGCATCATCAGCATTGCCATATGCAGACTGCTTGGTTTTTAAAAAGGATGTGGAACAAATAACCAAAAGGGTATCAAGTTCTGGTTGGAAGAACAAACGCTACCCAGAGTATCAAGTTTGCTCCTCCCTGATGCAACATCATTGAAGGCCAGAAGAAAGCCTTATTTCTGTAGGAACAGCTGCAGTCTGAGCAGGAAGGGAAAGGGTATAGACTAAAAGTGGTGCCATCCTCTGCAGCCTCAGTAATCTGGCACTGAGGTCACTGCTATGTCTGTAACTGGGAGGGTGAGGAGGAATGTGCCAGCAGCTATTCCCAAGAAGGTGCCTATTCCTGGAGCACCTACAGCTGCAGGTCCAGAAAAGCTATTACTGGGTCTGACCAATTCAAAGAGTGACAACCAGCACAGCAGGAGCCCATGTACATTGTTTTAAATATGTTAAAATATTTTAAATATTTAAATATTTTTTATAACTGCTTTCTATTTGTGCAGTTACTGGTGCAAGGACTAGAAAGCCTTGGACTGATGTTTACCCAGCCTGTTGCTCACACACAGGGAATTGTTCCTCCAGCCCTCCCTCCAAGCAGCACTGAATTTTCTGTGTTACTAAAGCAGTTCCAGCCCTGTGTTAGTCATCCTGAATTACAGCAAACCCTGGCCCTCCTGCCCTGACACCACTGCACTTCATGCCAACTCGTAAGGCTTGGCAGAGACCAGCTGCTCCAGCCAGTAGCAGAGGGCACTGGCAGGGCTCCTCAGGAGAGGGAATCTTGGCACTTGGATAATAGCTTGTGGGCAGAAAAATCTCAGGTTGTAACTCAGCTATCACAGAATCACAGAATATTAGAATGGCCCGGGTTGGGAAGGACCTTAAAGATCATCTCATTCCAATCCCCCTCCCAAGGGCAGGGACACTTTCCACAAGCCCAGGTTGCTCAGAGCCCCATCCAACCTGGCCTGGGACACTTCCAGGGATGGGGCAGCCACAGCTTCTCTGGGCAACCTGTGCCAGGGCCTCACCACCCTCCCCAGGAAGAATTTCTTCCTAATATCCACTCTAAGCCTACTCTCTGTCAGTTTGAAGCCATTCCCCCCTTATCCTGTCACTCCAGGCCCTTGGAAATAGTCTCTCCATCTGTCTTGTGGGCTTAGATATGGTACAAATGAAATGAGGACACACTGAATGTGAGAGAAGAATAATAGAGAAGAGCCTAAAGAAGCTAAAAAACACAGGCAGGAAGTGAGGCTCCCCACAAATAATGACTCATAATCCAGAAACAAATACTTATTAGATGGAGATATTCAAAGCCTCACCTAAAGTGTCCTCAAAGAGGAAGACCCCACTTGCAAACCCTGCTACAAAGCTGGGGAGTCAAAGTTGCTGAAGGAGACAAATATCCACCTCTGTCACGTTTCCACTAACAAAGACAGCTCTGAAAGTCTGCCCAAAACGTTAAACAACTTGCCCAAAGGAATGCAGAGTTTTAAAACACTCATGAACTGGATTAGAAGCAGAGCAATGAGTCACAGAAAAACAAGCATTAGCTGGGAGGAAAGTGGCATTTCTGTAGCAATGCTAAAATCCCAATTGTTTGTAGTGCTTTTATATGGCAAGTTTTCAACATCTCAGTTCACTTCTCCCCTCAGGGTTTGTATTTCTGTACCAAGGTTCCTCAGAAAGGATTTCTGACAGTTAAGTAAAACTTCACAGAGAGAAAAAAAGGAGAGAATTACCTGATTAGCAAACAGCAGCTGACAAACGGTGGGGTCACCTTTGTCTTTCATGATTGCTTTAATGATCTGCAGCATTGGGGTTATCCCTGGGAGAGAAAGGCATGTCAGTGATGTTAGAGTGTGAAGAAGCAAAAGAAAGGATAAGTGAGAGAAAATGTATCTCCCAGCTCTTAGAAACCAGGGGTGAATCCTTATAGATACATACCAGTCCCACCTGCAATCATCCCCACATATTTCACTGTCTTAGTAACTGGGTCAGCTTTCTTTTCTGGCCGAATATCAAACTTGCCTGAAGAGAGAAAGAGATGCAAAACATTGAGGAAAGCAGCAAACACCGCCTGTTATCCCTTTCCAATCCCTAATTGCCTTTGTTTCAGCCCTGTCACCTTTCCCTCCCAGCAAACAGCAAAGGTGAAGATGTCACGAATCAAAACAAATCCTGCAAGATGATGAGAGGTTCTAAGACATGTGACAATAATACTGACATGGGTTATTACTCCTGACATCAAGACATCACTACCTGTACTTCTGTTTGCTCATATCCCATACCCCCAGTGATATTCAGAAGCCCAGATTCTGGAAAAAGTTCTACAGAAAGGAATTAATCTGCTCAGAGAGTTTATCTACCCTGTGCAGATTATTTTAAGGGGCAACCTGAAATATGCAGGGTGTGTATTTTGTATATTTTGTGTATTTTTTTCTATATTTTTCTCTTTTTGAGCTGATTTGGCAGTTTCAGTCAGATCTGACAGAGAGCTTGAAACTCCCCAGAATGTTGTATTTGTTGTATTCATACCCCTCTTCATCCAGGATAGCATGAATACTACATACAAAGCTCTGTCACAAAACTGCCAGGTTTTCGTGACACACTGAGGGCTGCACTGTGCCAAAGTGAGTTATTTTATATTGACACAAAAGTCCTGCCTGCTCCTAAAGTTCATTTGCTCTTGGGAAATTAGCACTGGGCAGTGCAAATGCCAAGTGTTTTTATCAGTGTATAAACTATGGCCATGACAACAGGGAGAAAATTCCCTTGTTTGAGAACAATATCAATAACAAGCACTTCTATAGTATTAAGTAATTTTTCCTGTATTATTTACTCTGGATAAGTTATATCTTTCAAACCAGCCTCGCCTTTTCCTTTGTAGACAAGTAGGCCACTTGGTCCTCTGAAGTCAATGGTGTCCCCTATTTTCAGGCTGTCCAAGTACTGAGACATCTTCCCCCCATCAGGAAACTTTGGGTGGACACCTCTGAAGTAGATCTGTTAAAAACAACAATGAAGGAATTGATCTCACAGCTCAAAGATGAGCATTTGTTCTTCAAATATTTAGGTTTATAGGAATAATATATTTAGGTAATACACATAGTCCTCATGCAAAGAACATAATTACTCCCTAAAGAAATATCAGTGCAGATCTGACTGACAAAAAGAAGATTAAAATGCCACTCTTGCCCCAGTTTTTGGACACAGACTGGCAATTTCTCCATTGTATTTCTGTAACACAAAAAGTTTCAATAATAATCAGCATGATTTACACCCAAGTTCAAAAGGGGTAGAAAAAATAAAGAAAAAAGCCCACACCAGGAATTTCAAAAAGTAAAATTCTGAGAGCGAGTCCAGTGCAGATATTAATATTTTAAATTCCTGTCAGCTTTAAATGACAGGTAGCCTAGCTAGGTAATCTAGCTACCAGGAGACAAAACAAAAGGACATTATCCTAAGACTTAAAATCACATTCTTACCAATTAAATCAGTCATTCACACTGCTTGGATCAGTAACAATCATGATCACTGTTCTCAGTGATCATAATGACCATATTACATCAGCTTCAGAAGCAGCTGACCATCCAGGCAAGGTTAATTTCTTATTTCAGAAGGATTAAAAAGTGTATGAACATCTGCAGGTCTCCCCAGATTGTGGAAAACTGCAGTATGGCAGTACAGGAAATGATGCAGCATCTCAGGAGACACTAAAGAGGTGTCTGCAAAATGCCTGGTGGGTTGTAGGTAACGGAGCATGACATTCTCACCTTGACAACAAGATCCACAAAGCCCTTGTCATCATCACTGGAGACTGGAGTGTAAGGTCTGACAACCAGAGCTCCATCGATCCGTGCAGACAGGTAGATGTGCTGCCCTGCATGCAGGGAAGTGAAAAAAGCCATTTTCTTTCAAAAGATTTTTATTCTATGGATGTCCACTCTACACGGACTTCAAATGCAGCCTTAAAGTTCTCCTAACTACCTTATTTTGGGGCATCACTTCTTCCTCTCTCACTTTCCTGACACTGTAACACCTTGCCAGAGTTGTTAACCATGCACAGATTTTACCTGCAAGGGCAGACAACTCTGCTGCCAATTTTTTGTGTCAGTCACATCTCTTCTGGCACCTTCATGTACTTACATCTACCACAGCCCTAAATGTACGTGAGATCTTGCAAAAGATGTGATTTACCTCTCCTGTACAGACAAGTAAAAAGGCCACAGAAGGGGAAACCTGTCCAGTGCTGTTCACACCTCTTTATTAATCTGTTAGTTACACTGAGTTAATAAGTGTTCTTATTTTGACCACAGATCCCCCACATCTTCCAGGAGGTCTCTTTGCTAAGGCTGCCCAGACACAAAGCCCTTTTCTAACCCTGCTACTCCTCCAGTTTAACATGTGAATGCAGTGATCACATTTCCACCTGTCACACATTCTCTGAACTCTCTACAATAGTTTCTTTTCTCAATGTCAACATTTTTTTCTGAAAAAAAATATAAATTAACATCTAAGAAAGGTATTCTTATAAAATTCCAACATTCTGAAGAGATCCAATTGAAGAATAACTGAGGGGCAGGCAGAGGGGGATTTGTTTTTTGTTATTTTATCACAGCTAGGTCAACAAACTATCACCCCTGCCTGTTATGGGAACACAAAGAGGGGATTTTACCACCAGCTGCTCTGTGAAATATCATAATAACCATATTCCATCAGCTTCAGAAGCAGCTGACCATTCAGGCAAGGTTAATTCCTTATTTCAGGAGGATCACAAAGTGCAGGCAAAGCAGTGGGTGGATGAAGATGTGCTATCTGGTGACCAGGGAAATGAGCAACCACAACTCACCTGAAGCTGTACACGGACAGAGCGTAAGGGTCGTTCCTATAACCCCCTCAGCAAAGCCTCCATACATCTGGCAGCACAGGGAAGACCTGTTCCTCCTCCAGGCAAGGAGTGGCCCCACTACCCCCTCCTCCCAGAACAGAGCTGTGGTGACCACTGCAGACTGTCAGCCTGGACCGCTCTTGGGGCACATCCCACAAGAATTGGTACAAACTCAGAAAAGGGGCTCCTCCCAGAGAGAAAACATGCCTTAGGCTCTTACTGGTTAGAGCTTTTCCCTGCCCTGATAGGACATTGGCAGCCTACTCGTGGGGCCACACGCACACAATCCCCTCTCCCTCAGGATGAATTTTCCAGTATGTTTTCCTACAGCGCTCCAGCTGGTGGGAACTAGTGCTGGTGCTGGACTAACCATGCAGAGCACACACACTGGTACCTGTCCCACAGCTGCAGCTCTGCTGCTCCTTCCTGCTTTTCCACCCTCATCGGCTTCCAGCTCTCTCTGCTTCCCAAATCTCACCCAGCAAACCACTCCTCAATGTTCCTTATGGGCAAGGGAGGGAAAAAGGCTCCTGGCTTCTTAAAGGGATCAAGAGATTAATAACACCCTAGACAAGAGGGAACTTCACCCCGTGGGCTGGAATGCTGGAAAGGTGCTGACAACAACCACAAAGCACCTGAGCCACAGATCATTTCAACAGCTTGTTAAAGCAAAATTCACTATTAAACACAAGCCACAATTAAATGCTTTTTATACAAGCAGTAGCTTGTATACAATGGCACTAAGATATTATGGAAGGCAAGGCCTATGGAAGCAGCTGCCCTACAGGGATTGAGAAATTCCATGAGACTGGCTGCAAATTCAGAAGTGAGGAGGAGATCATCTGGTGAACCACGTGTTATAGGAGAAGTAGCTCAGAGTGGTGCCCCAGGGGATGGAAAGGGATCAAGCACCACAGGAAAATTTCCAGCTGAGACTGGAAAAATACAAGTAAAGACCAGTGTTTGTTTGTGTTCCCTTCAGGGAAACAAGCTGGATGTACGCTCCCTGTAAGCACACCAGATTGCAGACCCTACAGATTACATACAGCGTGAGGATAATCTTGCAAAGCTCCAAATACCAGCTCAAGCCACAAGGACAGTATTGAAAATTCAACAGCTCAAAACATAGGGAAAAAAAAAATCCCCATAAAATCTACGGTAGGATAATTAATAACACTTGGATTCTTTCTAAGGAACGTACCTAAAGGGAGACCCAGGACATGCTCCATGGAAGGGAGAGCAAATCGGAATCTTCTTGTGTCGTGACTAACTTCCTGAAAGGGGAAAATGAAAAGAACAAAAAGCTGTGTTGTTGGGATTTAAAGTCTGTGATTTCACTGGTAAAATCAACACACTGGTTTGTGTTGGCCTCCTGCAGGATTAAGTATCTGGGGGAGAGCAGCACCCCAACTGAAATTTTTGCACAAATATGAACTCTGAGGTCAACTTTTCCTTCAACTCCCTGAAAACTTCTCTCAAAATATTTGAGAAGTAATACAGAATTAAAAATAGAAATAAGTACTGTTCTGCTGTATATTTAAAGTGTGATTACCAAAAGTTAATAACCCTCATACGCAGATTAAGAATAAATAACTTTCTAAATATTATGAACATTTACACTGCCTTCTGTGAGAAGGCCACAAGATAAAATTTAATTAGTTGTTCAATTCTCATTTAAAGTTTAAATATGCAGTAGTTCAAGGCCAAAATATTTTGATTTTGATCTCTCAAAATCAGATGAAGTAACTATTTCAATGCAGAAGATGATTTCAGAAGACACCAGTGGCTGTCAAGATTAGAAAGTAGCAACCTTGCTCCTTTTGCTATGCTAACAGCCTTAAAAATATTTTCCCTGTAAAAACTGAACTAACCTGTAAATAAAATTGAAAAGAGCACTATATTTAGATATAAACTCTATTATAAAATTATGACAATATATGCAGTCCAGCTGGGATAATTATTCTAATCTTTTACCAGGAAAGTCATACCTTGAACAAAATTTTGGCAATAAGTAAATAAAATGTTATTTCTTATGCTATGTAAGTTTTATATTTTAAAAATCAGGTCCTATTCATGGGAATGGAAAACACAGCAAAGAAAGACAGAAAGACACAGCACACAGCTTAATGCCTCATCCAGTGACTTCCTTTTTTAAAAGCCCTATGGGACTAGAGGAAATTTCATGAACATTCCATAAAATATTATAATCCTTATTTGTTTTTAAAATTACCAATGGAGACAGATTCCTTCCTCATCACAGTTTACTTCATCTTCCCTTACTCTGCTCACACTGATGAAATTTTCTTCACAACTCATTTTAAGGTAAATCCTGAAGGAAAATGGAACTAATTGGCAGTCAAAAAAGGGCTTCTCTGTACTTACATCTACTCAGGAGCAGTAACTTCCATTAGAAATTCCTCTAGAAAGACAACTGCTATGGAGTTAACACTGCTGCTTTCACACTGACTTCTGCTGTTCCTGAGTGGAAATTTCAGCACCATCTTCACCACTTCAAAGCTGGATTTTGCCAATACTCCTGTATTTTTATTATGCTGTCTTTACCCTCATACAGAAAGCAGCAAGTTCTGAATTCCCATTTAATCATCTCATCAGTTAAAGTCGGGATGGCTCAGCTGAAGGTGACTGAACACAAGTATTTTGGTGCATCACAAGAGGCAACTGTGAGAAACACCAAGAGTCTCCAGACATTCCTAATACTGAGATCAGCAAGGTTGTGCCTCTGCTCTCTCACACAGGCAAGACACTGAGCCAGCCATTCTGCAAGCTGGGAGTCAAGGCTGCGTTACAGACAGCCTTGAATTGGGATGCAGGAGCCATTTCCAGCATGGGATCACTTTGGCTGCGTTCCCCAATGCCATCCTTTGGCATTGCCCTGAACTCCTGAAAGCGCTTGGCCAGGCACTCCTGTCTAAAGTTGCAAATGCAAAGCTGGAGGGCAGTTTTTGCAGGCTGGTGCATTGCTGAAGCCACTGAAAGGCAACCAATGAATGATGCTCACCATCATAAAACCAACCAACCAGACTGAAGTTGTTGGGGTTTTAAGGCATAAACTAAATTAGCACACCTAACTATATTATGACATATTTTTTCTTGTGTTAAACACCAGGAAGCAGCCTTGGGACCCCTATTTCTCCATTCAAAAGATGGGAGGTATGGAATACTCAATTTGGGCACATTCATAGGATCACAGAATCGTTTGGGTTGGAAGGGACCTTAAAGATCATCCAGGTTCAACCCAGGGACACCTTCCACTAGCCCAGGTTGCTCAGAGCCAACTTGGCTTTCAACACTCCCAGGGATGGGGCAGCCACAGCTTCTCTGGGCAACCTGTGCCAGCCACAGCTTCTCTGGGCAACCTGTGCCAGGGCCTCACCACCCTCCCAGGGAAGAATTTCTTCCCAATATCCAATCTAAACCTACTCTCTGTCAGCTGAAGCCATTGCCCCTTGTCCTGTCACTCCAGGCCCTTGGAAATAGTCTCTCTCCATCTTCCTTGTGGGTTCCCTTCAGGTACTGGAAGGCCACAATTAGGTCACCCCAAAGCCTTCTCTTTCACAGGCTGAACAATCCCAACTCTCTCAGCCTTTCCTCACAGCAGAGCTGCTCCATCCCTCTGATCATCCTGGTGTCCCTCCTCTGGACTTGCTCCAACAGGTCAGTGTCCTTTGACCTGGTTACATATGAGCTCTTCCTCCACCCTAATATCAATGAAAAGCATACAAAAATAACAAGAGTGTGAAAAAAAAAATAATCAGTATTTAGCAAAAAACCTCTGAATTCTCTTCTGTTCCAAACTAGTCCAGCAGAAACATGCAAGTAGTTGGACTGTCAGAAGCCTGTGCAGTGCCTCAGCTTCCCTCCCCTCCTGCAGGTCAAGCTGTACCTGCAGCCACGTGCTCCCATCTCACGAGAAAGCAGAGAGTATATAATAATAGAGTGGCTGCAGTACACATGGGAAATAAATTCCGTAAGTACACATGGGATATAAACTCAGCAATGCAGCTCAGCCCAAGCCACAGGGAAGCTTTCAGTTCCCACGAAACCAGGATTTGGAATGGCAATGACTGTTTTCCTTGACAGGCAGAACAAGTGAAAGTCAATCTATCAGTGCACTGCCTACACCTCAAAAGCTCTGTTCCAGTCCAAAGTTCTTTTTATCAAAAGTCTTCTGATAAATTTCTGACTAGTTCATTGACTTAAAAAGTCAACACTAAAAAGATCCTCAAGTGTGACTTTACACCCAAAAACCCAGGATTTCTATCCCCAAGTTTATCCAAGGGGAACCTGGACTGTTCACCTTTGGTGGCTTTGGTCCCCTTCCCACAAGCTGAGTTACCAACTTCTGATGGCAAGATCCATCCCTGAAAGGGTCATGACTTTCCTCTGAAATCCTGGTTGAGCAGAGATTTCATTCTGTACTAGAAGGTACTTTTAACAAAGAGAAGCTGAGACAGCTCAGGTGCTGTCAAGGACTGTATGACTTAAACACCTTTCAATGATGTAAACACTTTTCTTCCTGTAACACATTAAAATACAACAATCTAGTACCAGGAATCAGTATCAGCATAGTTGTGTTCACCCTGCTGTGACATTACCCAAGATTTCAGAAGCTCTGAGCATTTCACAGTGTCCATGGAGAGGTCATGCTCAGCACTCCACATGCACTTACCTCCTTATCAATCAGCCTCAATGCGTACTTCACTTCAGGATCCTTCAGAGTGATGGCAGGATGGGGATTCCTGAAAATCCTCATGATGGTGGTGTAGATGAGCCATATTGGGTATGTCACAACCTGACGCAACTGCAGCTACACAGAAAGAGTGTTAGACTTGTGCACAATGAGAGCAAGTCATTTTAGTGAGAAGGTCTGTGGTAGCATGACAGGACAATCCAGCCACCAAAAAAAAATAAAGTGTTTCTTTGTACTAATACGAGCATGAAGAGGAAGTATTATTAAAAAATACCAAACAACAACAGACAAATACCAGCAAGTGTAACACAGAAATTTGCTTTATGAATACCTGGTGTTCAGTGCCGAGGCACTTGCAGCTGACCAGGATTCCCAGCTACTCCTCCCCTAAATGTCCCAGATGCTCACCCCCTACATCCCATGTCCCCCAGCCTCCCACTGGCACGTGCAGATTAGGCTGGAAGGGACCACAGTGGGTCATCTGGTCCCTGCTCCAGAAGGGTCATCCCAGAGCACATGGCACAGGATTGTGTCCAGACAGCTCTGGAATATCCCCAGTGAGGGAGACTCCACACATTCTCTGGGCAATCTGTTCAGTGCTTGGTCGCTGCACAGCAAAGAAGTTCTTCCTCATGTACAAGTGGAACTTCCTGGGTATCAGTTCCTGCCTGAGGCCTCCCATTGCTGGGCACTCCCGAGCAGAGCCTGGTCCATCCTCTGCCCCCTCCCTGCACACACTGACACACATGGATGTGGTCCCCTCTCAGTGTCTCTTCTTGAGGCTGAACAGCCCCAGCTCCCTCAGCCTTTCCTGGTCAGGGAGATGCTCCAGTCCCTGAATCATCTCCACAGCCTCTGCTGCCCACTGGGCAACGGGTCCCCCTGAAAGCTTTGGCCAGGGCCAGGGCTCCTGTCTCTGAGTGAGTTATTTGGGCTCCCTGGCCTCCCAGTGTCTCTGTGCTCCTCCATCCACAGAGAACAACTACTTATAAATATTCTCTCAGACTCTGTAATTTGTTATTCAGTGCTTTAACGGAGGAGAGGTGGAAAGCATGACTACAGCAAAAACCAAAAAGTGAGCTCACAGTCCTGCCTGGTTAGCTTTCACTTTCATTTCGTTTTAAAGGGACCTGACCAGTATTTCTGCAAGTGTGACAGTGGTCAGGAGACTATTTAAAAAAAACCAAAGAAACAAAAAACAAACCCAAACCGCTTCTACATTATTATTACTAGAACTGTGTAAGGGACAGCATAATTTCCCCCTTCTTAAGATGCTGCTGTAGGGGTTTAAAATGCATCGACACAGTGTACAGCTTCAGGACACACCATGCCATACCCACACATTGCATTTTTCACTTTTACTTGGGACAAACTGAAATAGCTCCACACATCTTGTTTGTGAAGAAGCTGAAGTTTATAGGAATGTTTTCCTTAACTCCCACAGATCCACTAGACTACTGCAGCTCCGGGAAGAACTTTTGTTACTGACACAAAAAAGGGGAAGTGAGGAGAGTTAAGAAAGCAACAGAGCAGCAAATAAACTCCCTAATGAGAATTCAGCAGGTGAATGAGACCTGGTGGCAACAGCAATCTGACTCTGAGGCAGATAGTGTTTCAAATGAAATATTCATGTGTCAAAATAGTTTCATTTACAAATGTGCCTGTCTAAAATGGACCAAAAAACTGCAAACAATGCTGCTGTTGTCTGGCAAAAATGCAGTTGAAAATGGGAATTCAAAACCTCACGCTCAGTCCCAACTCCAACATTAATGTCAGTATCATGACTGGGAAGGCAAAAGGAGGGTAGAGTTCAAACTGTCATCTCTGCAAGTCACTTTCTCCACCTGTGTGCAGAGGTAAATGTTTTCTACCACCCTTGCAAATAATTTTCAGGTCATCAGTTGTCAAGCAGAAACTCTCACAGCTGTTCAATAAATGAGATTAACACACTGTCCCCAAATGTGCATCACCATCACTTTGTGAAGCAGTGAGTGTACTGGAACAGAATGCAGTTTGATTTTGACAAACAATCTGAACACAGCGTTTGCCTCGTGGAAGGCAATTTGTTATTCATGGTCAATTAGTGCAAAAGCCTCGTGGCATCTGGCCTAGAAAGAAACAGCACACCCACCAATTCAGATAATTTCAGTTCCTTACTTCAGACACTATCAGCAGGTGGGCAGAGAAAAAAGGGGAAGAACTGAAGGCTGAATAAGTATAAAAAGTTATGCCTACTAAGAAAAACATTCTCTGGGTTAAAAGTGATCAATAAACTCTCAGCATGGGGCAGACCAAGGTGTTAATGAAGATAACTGCACTGTATCAGGTCTCCAGCAGCTGAGAGTGACTAGCTTGACCAAAAGGCCTGGAAATCACTAAATGAGGACCTGGTGACTCATCATTTCCAGCTGCACAAATCTCTGCTAACAGAGAACACAGAATTAGTAACTGAGCAGGAATTTTTATTCATGGAAACAGACCTCAGTGTGATAACAAAGAGAAAAGCCATAGCATGGAGACTGCCAGCTGCTGTGGCGTGGTGAGCAGGACACAGTTAAACACAGCTTCAGGCTGGACACTCCATCACCGACCTGCCCTACAAACACACAAATCAAACCCTGCTTTGGCATGAAAACCCTGTTACCCTCAGCTCCAATGCCCCTCCCCACACTTCCTCATTCAAACCCTGTTTCTGAAGTGATCTTAGCTAGACAATCTTCTCATCTGTTTTAGAAAATAAGAGGATAAAGAGATCTCTTCACTTTTGCAGCTTCAGCATGTACCTCATCTCCTCCCTTCAATGCATCTAACAAGAAGCTGTGCCCAAACGAGCACGTTGCATCCAGCTCCTCTCCTGCCCCTGTCACAAACCCAGAAGCGTTTGAGCATGTACATAAGACAAAAGAAACAGGGATGAAGGTCTATGGAAAGAGTGGAATGATGCATGGGAGAGATGACAGTGCTGCAGACCCCACCACTCAGTAGGAAAGATCATGGAATCACAGAATGGGGCTGGGTTGGAAGGGACATTAAAGCTCATCCAGTTCCAACCCCCTGCCATGGGCAGGGACACCTTCCACTAGCCCAGGTTGCTCCGAGCCCCGTCCAATCTGGCCTTGAACACTTGCACGGATGGGGCACCCACAACCTCGGGCAATCTGTTCCAGTGCCTCACAGTGAAGAATGTCTTCCTAATATCCGATATAAACCTCCTCTCTTTCAGCTGATCTCGACGGAGGGAAAACCGCACCCCCGCAGCTGCCTGGCCGGAGGGTTCAGGGCCTCTGAACAACAGCACACAGTTATTCGTGGAGCCGAGGGCGGACAAACGCCACCACCGCCGGCACCACCACCACGGCGGGGGCCGGAGCCGCGGGAGGCAGCGGGGACACGCTGGGGCACCGCCAGGCCTCGGGTGAGCAGGGGGTGGGCAGGGGGGACCATATCGCACCGTGGGGCGCAGGGACCGCTATGCTCCGCTGCCATGCCATGCCATGCCATGCCATGCCATGCCATGCCATCCCGCTCCCGGTCGCAGCCGCTCCCCAGCACTCACCACGCTAAGCTGCGCCCCCATCGCTGCCCCGACAGACCCGAGGACACCGCCCCAGCCCACTCCGCCCCGTGACGTCACGGAGGTATGCGCCTCCCGCCCCGCCCCGTGACGTCACACAGCCGAGCTGAGCTCCCGCCCCGTGACGTCACACCGGGCGGGAGCTCAGCGTAGCTGTGTGACGTCACGGGGCGGGGCGGGAGGCGCATACCTCCGTGACGTCACGGGGCGGGAGCTGGCCGTAGCCGAGGGAAGGGATGTTCCCGCGGGCACTGAGGGGCTGCCAGTGTTGTATTGTCACAGCCCTTTTGCCCTCTATTAACTGCCTAAATAACCCCAGAGTGGGGTCACGGTCCTGTTAGTGACAGATGGCTCTTAGAATCATAGAACCAGTCAGGTTGGAAAAGACCTCCGAGATCGTCAAGTCCAACCCTTGATCCAACTCCGCCGTGGCTGCCAGACCGTGGCACTGATGACACATGCAGTCTCATTTTAAAAACCTCCAGGGATGGTGACTCCACCAGCTCCCTGGGTAGCCCATTCCAATGTCTGATCACTGTCTGTAAAAAATTTCTTCCTAATATCCAACCTAAACCTCCTCTGGCACAGCTTAAGACCCTACCCTCTTGTCCTAATTCTTCCCGAATTAAGGCACCAAGGAGACCGTGTGCTGAAGTCCATAGGACGGGTTTTATTTAACTAGTTACCACCCAGGGGTCCAGCGGTGTCCCGGTAGTCCTTCCTCACCCTGGGCTTCTCAGTGGTGGTTCCTGGGATCGTTTGAAACTTTTCATCGTTCATGCATGTTAGCAAAGGAGTTATACATCAAAAAAAGGAATTATTGCTCCTTGGCTACAAATGGCATAGTTCTCTTATTAATTAGTATTCTATCTTCTGTTGGTTAAATGATTCCCTCACTTCTCGTGCTAATTAGTCCACATGCTCCGTCTTCTTTTGGGTTGGTGGGTTTCTTGGGTCAATGGTCCGTGAGTCAGTGGTTGTGATTTTCCCCTCCTGGAATTACCTTTTACCTAGTCAGAGCTGATTTCAGCAGAGTTTCTGAGTTGGTTTTAGCAGTTTCTTCCTTATCTGGGGAGTTCTGCCACAGATGTCCTTGTGGCCCACAAATTCTGCATTCTCTGTGTCCGCTATCAGTGGCACATCCTTCTCCCCAACCTTGTTAACCTCCCCCTAGCTCTGAGACCACTGAAGCAGGTCAAGCCCTTAACTTTAGCAAGGCAATTCTACAGACAAGTGATTTATCTTTCTAAGACCCAGACAACAGTGCCAGCCTTATACAGTCCAAGTTCTGAGTATCCAACCTGGCCTTCAACGCTTCCAGGGATGGGGCAGCCACAGCTTCTCCTAGGCAACCTGTGCCAGGGCCTCGCCACCCTCCCAGGGAAGAATTTCTTCCCAATATCCAATCTAAACCTACTGTCAGTTTGAAGCCATTCCCCCTTGTCCTGTCACTCCAGGTCCCTGGAAATAGTCTCTCTCCATCTTCCTTGTGGGCTCCCTTCAGGTCCTGGAAGGCCACAACAGGTCACCCTGAAGCCTTCTCTTCTCCAGGCTGAACAATTCCAATTCTCTCAGCCTTAACAATTCATTAATGGCAATGTTTATCCAAAAAGCACCAGGACTGAGCTGTGCAACAAGATAGGATGTTTCAGCCAGGCTGCCTAAAAGTTTGGTTTACATCAATGTGTACAAATTACTGACTAATAAGCAAATGCATCTTTGTGTCTGTGCTAAATGTGAAACATTTCGAAGCTCTTTAATTAATATGGCTTCACCTGCAGTGAACAGACCTCAGTGATTCCTAAACACAGATTCTCCTTACAAAATCCTGGATCTTGGCAAAGGTCAGCTGCTTGAGGTGGCAGCTTTGTCAAGCAGATCTTCCACAGGTTTATTGCCCCATTCCTTTGGAAATGCTGTCACATGGGAGTGAGACAGCACTGAATACTCTCCTCATTCTCCTGTGACAGAAAAAGAGGAACAGAGAGCAGGGTCAACCTGGCCTCAACTGTTGCACAAATAAAACCCTGTGCAATGAGTTTCTGCAGAGAAACCCAACCCACATATTTTCCAAGGCTGCTCTCTGGACACTCGGGTTTTCTTACTGAATTAGACTTGGAACAACCCAAATTCTCTGATGAATTTGCCCTTGATCAGTCCATCACTTCTGTTGGTGAACACGCTCCTTTTAGTTTGGGATGCCTTCATTTTTCTTAGCTCAATGTCTAAATCACACGATGGAAGTTTTAAACAAGATTTAAGTACACATTTGGGTTTGAGATTGCTAGTGATGCTGCTGACCCAACCTGCAATTTTATCAAAGATTAACTTAAACACTGACTCCAGTGATGACACTGCTTGTAAATGAAAATTCCCTGGGCTCCCATCTGGGCTCTTTCTACTAATGTGAGTAAAGAAGTCACAACTTTCTTACAGACAGAATACGCCCACTGGCTTTTGTATTTTAACTGAAAACCCATAAGACTTCCTTCATTCAGTTGATAAACTGGGGCATTTGATAAATGCAGGACATTGGATTTTTTGTGTTTACCCAGAACTGCAATAAATACTAGTAAAATATGGTAAGGAAAATTTCTGTTCAAATTAAGGATATTGAAGTTTGAGATATCAGTGTCATAAGGAAGCTTCACTTTAATGTGTTTTAAGTCTTGTTTCCTATGCAATTCTATGTGTCAGCTGTCTTCATTACCAGGGGCTTTATTTTGCTCTAATATGATTCTTTGAAGGGGTACATGGACCAGAGGTGCAGAACCACTTCTATAACTGGTAGCCTAATGCCAAGCCATTTTGACTTCTGTATATACATGTTTGTTTGGCCAGTCTTCGTGAGCGAAGATTTGGGAAAGGTCTTTTACCCTTCCAGCCTGCACAGTGGATTTTTTAGGTGAGACCCAGTGTGCGCTGAACTGAGCCCACCCTTTAATCCTAAGGTTCATCTGCCGGGGCCGAGCAAGCTTGGACAGTGGCAGTGAGATCCTCAGGACATAGGTTTGTTTAGAGTGACCTTCTCTTAGATGGATGGCCTTACAGGGCTGACGAGCTCCATCTGCCCATACATACATATATATATATATATATGTATATATATATATATACAGTTTAGGCCTAAAGCTATGTTTTTTAGGAGTTAATTATTATGAAGAAGAAAATGCTAAAATTACCAATCAAACAAAAAGAAGCTTTAAACCATCTGAAGGTTCATTTAATCACATAATGAATGCAAGTTTCCCAGGACAGGTGTTGGAATGGGTACCTGCATTTACCAGCACCTGCCACCACTTGCTTCCAGTGGTGCATGTGAAGTGCTGCCTTTCTAAAGCATGTCTTTGTTATAATGCCTCCTATATTCACAAGAACAGAGAAGAATAAAGAAGCATATGTTGGGTTTTTTCCTTCCCTACTTTTTTTTTTTTGATCTCAGATTTATTATCATCTTCCCTTCTATTGTCAAATAATAACTGTATGTGGAACAGCAAGACTGGAATGTCCTGTCCATCTCAGGGTTTTCAGACTTGCAGTGCTTATTTCTGGGCCCCAAAATTCACGCAGAAATCTAGAATCTGCTTAGCAAATAATCCAGATGCAATGCTGTGACTCATGGCTGAAGTTCCTGCATGGATCTCAGGATTGCATCTGGAAATCCAGGTGTGAGAGGAGGCGGTGGCCATACTTCTCCCTGCTGTCACCCCCAGTATTCCTGGCCAGAGGAGGTAAGGAAAAGCAGGAGCCAGGTGCAGGTGGTTTTGACTTCCTGGTCTGAGTGTTCCTGTGCTGAGAGAAGCATGAGTTGTGCTGCTGTCCTTACACTCCACGGCCTCTTGTGGGGTTTGGCACCTCCTGCCTATCCCTTCCCTTTTGTGCTGCCTGTCAGTGTGAGTGACAGTCCTTGGGGTATAAAAGGGAGACAACTCCATGCCTTGGACTACTAGGAGGATTTCTGAGGTTGTCTTATCCCTACTCAGAGTATTTGCTGAGAGAAAAACTTCTTCCTGGCATGGCAAGTAGGTAAGAGAAACTTCTTCTCTGACATGAAGGGTGAAGGGGGTGGGATACATTTGTCTGAGAGAACATTATGTGACATGCAGCACGGCAATAACCCTGCTTCCTCTTTTTATTCTGTTTTCTAACTTCAGTGTAAAAAATCGGTGAGACTTCTGAGCCATAAGCTGGTTTAGCTTAAAATAAAGGTGATGCTAAGATCAGATTTTGCTTAAAAATAGCTATAATGTAATGTAGAGATAATGCAGAGTTGCTTCTTCAAACATCACCTGCCTGCCCAGGACCTTGACAGACTGAGTAACTGCTGAGTAACTGCCCCCTCTTATGTTTGTTCCTTCACAACGCCTTTTCCTTTCCACCTAACAAAACCTTCCTCACTTAAACTTTGGTATTTCAAATAACAGGTTTAAACTTAAAAAAAAAAAAAAGTCACTGGACTCAAATAAAAGACATACACAGTAGCATAAGGGGAAAATGGAGATAATGGCTTCTATCCTCTATTAACCGTATAAGCTGATGCATGCATTTCACAACATTGAACCCATTTTATGAAATGATTGGAAACTTCTTGTGGATGTTCTGGTGTTCCAAATGCTCTTGTTCTCTGTGTAAAGATTAAAGGCCGTTTAAAATTGGATGTTGTTCAAAGGATCTCTGAAGGTAAATTTACTTTGGAGAAGATGTTTGTTCAAACCTTCTTTGCAGAGCTGTGTGACCCATTTGCAACACGTTTTTCTTGCTTTGACACTGTTGACTTGCTCACATTATTTGCTACTGACCTTTAATTCTCTTCATGTCCTGAGTAATTTCTGATTTATAGCAATAAAATCTTCTTTGTTTTGGGTAGAACAAAGGTTTAATACAAGAAACTCACTCAGAAAAATCAGGCACACCATGAATGTTTCACTTGAAAGCCATAATAAAATGGGGATGATATATTCTTTTGCTCTAGCCATACTGCTGGTGCATCAAGTTACTACTGCAAAGAGCCTCCCCCAAAAGTTGTCTCAGCTCTTAGAAGTGCAGACTAAGTGTTCTTGTTATTGGGGTGGTGCTTTGCTCACAAAAGCACAGCCCAGCAAGGCTCCAACTGGACAAAATCCAGTTGGATTTGCCTCACTTCTTGCACAGAAATAATTTATTCTATGTGAAAGCACAAATCTAACAACTGAGAGCTTTCACCATAGGGAGGGAGTTGAGAATTGATGATAAGAATCTCTGGGTTGAGTCATACATAGTTATATTGAAATCCAGAGAGTAAATGTGCAATACTCTTTTCCAGAACAACCTTACCTAAAAGCTGGTGTCTCATGGATTTGCATGAAGGTGTTGAGCATCTTCTCATTGAAGTTGTCTCACCTAATATGTGTAAGCAAAGTTTATGGCCCTTTTTGAAAGAAATACTGTCCAGAAAGAGTTTTTACAAGATGACTGTGTAAGCTGCTAAACAAGTTCTTTGCTTTGGCAAGGATGTATTTTTGTTTAACCTTCAGTGTGTACAGGTGCTCTCTGTTTGGAAACAGAGAAACATGGAAAAGTCCACGATGATATTGTGGTAGCACCCAGCAGAGATAAAGAAGAGAAAAGGGCTTTATTTTCTAAAATTAAGCAAATTCAGAGTTTTGGGACAAGTTTTCTGAATGCAGGATTACGTTTAGTAGAAGTATATTTATGAAACAAATATGAGGATTGAAATCTGTTAGGTAACCCTCTCCTGAGTAGACACATTGAGCTCATGTGATATTCCATAACATCACTAGAGAAGGAAAGGTCCAACAAAGTCCTAAAGTGCTTTATAAACACAGGATAAATCTGCTCAGAGCAGACCAAGAAGAAACAGTAGGTATTGAAGGGATGACAGATCTCCTGTGTAGGTGACTTTTACCAAAATACATCCATACTAAAATATGTGTGTATAAAATACTGAATTTATGGAACAAAGTATTATAATAAAACCCAACTGACACTCTCTCTAATGCTTCACATATCTTGAATGTCCAGCATACAGCAGACTCCTATCCACCACTTCCAAAGTAAAAACTGTATTAGACACAATATGATAGCTCTCAAACAGATGGGATAAGCTGAGGCAGAGGGGCAGGCAGCAGAAGGGCCCAGAACCCAGGAGAAAAGTGACCCAATAAAATTAGGTCAGTCTAAGTCTTTTTTCTTCTTTCAGGTATAGACACCTTTTCAAGCCTAGTTCAAAATTCAAGTGATCTTGTAGATCTGTCAGTACCTCCTGAGGTACATGATGGCTCAGCTTCACAGCTCCAGGCAGCCTGAGGTGTGGCAGCCCTGCCCTTCTGTAAGAGGCTGCTTTCCCCACTCTAAATAGTTCTGTGAATCTCACATGTATTCTTTATGCTCCTCAGCTGCTGCAGCACATTCTCTGGGGCTTTAATGTAAACTGCCTGCTTTTGGCTCCTAGCTCAGGGATGTGAATTCCTTTGGGCATCAAGCTCTCAAAGAGTTAAGCACAGATTGCTTGAGCTTTTCAGGGTTTTAAACTTAGGGTATGAGTTCCATCCCAAAGTTACACAAAGAATCTGTATTGCTCAGTGACAGGGGAAAAAAGTCTCAGTTCTCCAAGCACAGTTTGCTACTTTCTGTTTCTTCCAATATGGAGCTTAAACCATCAGTTTCTGAGCCTGCCACCAAGTGCAGAGAGGAGAGGACATATAAAATGCTGGCTCACTTTTTGCACTTCCTGGCTCTCAAGCTGCCACGTCAGAAGACTGTGACTTCACCACAATATTTGTTTGCTCTTCCTGCTTGAGAGCATGGATTTTGCCACTGGCAGGAGGATACAGCGAGTTATCTCCATCCTGGTCAGCACAGAAGGAGAAGACATAACAGGAATCAGGAGGTTCAGAGCTGGACTTGAAGGTGCTTTAGTTTAGTATGGGAGAACCAGTTAAAATCATGGCACGTTGGCCAAACAGCTATTTGAAAGAAATGCCCATTGTTAACAGATTTCAGTACTTTTCTTATTTTCTGCTTTGGAGGAGAATTCAAACTTATCAAGTGGTTCTTCTCTGGGCTTTGATGCACGTGCTGGTTTGTAACTGATTAATTCCACTGTCACTCATTTACAGATTAATCCATTCCTCTTTCTTCTCCACTCTATTCTTTGTCTTGATCCTGTTGATGTGGACATGATGCACTTGGAGCTACCTCTGGGCGGTTCATCACAGTAACAACTTCCTAAATCTTGTTGATAGATGGATGAATAGACTTCTGAAAGCTGTACACTACTATTCAGGGCCAAATTCCATTAAAAACAAGGAAAGGAGCAGTCTAGGTAGGTCTGTATGTGCATCAGAGATCAGTGCATGAAAGATATTTATTGTAGAGGGAATTCTTCACTTCCTGTTCTGTTGGTAATGCTGTTGCACACTGGTAACATCTCCTGCTTGCCTCTGGTTTGTACAAGAATGAAATACCACTGTCTTCATTTTTGTTTTTTGGAAACTGCAAGAAGACTTATCAACAAAAACTTTTTCAAATAAACTCTAACATAACCTTAGGGGAGGCTCAAGTTTCTTTACGGGTTACCTGCATTCTTTAAAGATGAATGTGTGGTTTTCAGACCAGCACTGACAGGAAGGTGTGGGGAGAAAGAGAAACCTCTCCTGATGACTGACAAGCTGGTATCCAGAACATGGAGTGACATTAGAAGTCTCCAGAAGTGGGACTTACAGAAGTAACAGCATGTCTTTTTTTAATGTGTATTTCTCTGCATTTCTTGACAGGAAGGCCTTAAATCATGAACTTTCTAAACTTTTCAGTGAGATGTGGGATATGGATGTTCACCGCCTCATGCCTGGGAAAGACTACACGATTGATGTGCAGGTAACCAGCTGCCAAGTCACATGAGGATTAAGGGCAGTGTGGTGCTGTAGGAAAAGGTGTCTGCAAAAGTGCCTTTCCTAAAAATATTGTGTGTGCTTTGTAATTTCCATTTTCAAGATCTAACAAGACGATACTCTGAGCAATACAGTCTGAATTCGGTGCTGGCCACACTTCAAGCAGAACTAGAGATGTCCTGAGGTCCTCTACTGGACATCCATGGATGTTTCAGCATGTGAATGATGGTTTGTGTGTACAGTCTGGGTGACTTGCAGTAGGTGAGATAGAACCCAAGTCATTCTTAGGGGAATAAGAGAGGAATTTGAGGAATTCTTGGGTTTTTCCTGGAGAGTGGGGAATAGCACAGAGGCATGGGTGAAGAGGATTTCAGGGCTGTTGCTTACAGTCTGAGGGAACTGTAAGGGAGGAGTGGGTATCAGATTTGATAGGCAACCATTTCACTCCTTTCTAGCTCAGTGTAGTGCAAACACAACCATGTGTTTTAGCCACAGATTGCAAGAGGCCACTGAATATTCAGAATCCACTTTTGTACTCACATAAATACTCACTTTATTCCGATGTTACTCAAATGTTTTATTCCAATGGTGCTTCACATTATAACATATAATGTTCTGTTGCTGATAAATTTGAAATAGGGTTGCCAAAATATAGCCAAAATATGCGTGGGGGAAACTTCTCCCATATGGTTTCTCCATTTGTCTTAAGGCTCTACTTACCCTTGCCCATGTTAACAAACTGCTACTCATCTTCTATCCTCTTTTCTTGGGAATGCCCTTTATGAAACAAATTTGAAAATTGTCAGGAAAGCCTCCTCACAACTGCACAGAGAAGGAGGGTCCTCAAATGTCCTTTTTATTTATTTGAGTTGGGAGGGACCCTTGGCTCTACATTACTTCTGCTTGTCATTTATATAGCAGAGTAACACAGCTGACTATTGATCAGAACCGAATTGTCACATGGATCATCACAGTCATCTCTGAGTCAACGGAGAAATTTCAGGCTCTTACAGTGTCAGAGATTATGCGTTTTTTACTTTATGTTGGCAGTTCTTGTGTAATGTCTTCTCTTGTTTCATAGGAAGACAATTCCTAACAAAGAATCCTGATGGGGTTTGTTTGGATTATTACAAAGGCAGGCACTGTCTCCTCTGAGGACACCTTACTTCCCACATTGTTTTACTCTGTTATTTCTCCCAGGGAGAAGCAGGCCCAGCACAGCCAGGGGACAGTGCTGTCCGGGACAATGCAGCCAGACATCTGTTCCACAATGTAAATGAAGGACTCCTGAAGAGCATAAAAACTTTTCCAAGTGAGACCCATTCTTTTGTTAATGGTGGACATGACATGGAAGAATCCATGTTGGGTTTTATGGGTTTGCCTAAAATATAGCATCGTATATTATTTGGATGGTGGTGAGGATCATCAGGCTGCGCGTCATTTGAAGGGGGTTTTCATAACATGGAGGTTACCTTTGACCTTAGCCTCAGGGAGAACATCCTTTTACGCCTTAGCCAGAATCTGAATTTCTCTGTGATTCTTTCACTACAAAGTGAAAAGGATGAGATTCTTGCAGAAAGACTGAAAGAGGTGGGATTTTTCAGCCTGCAAAAGAGAAGGCTTCACAGTTACCTAATTGTGGCCTTCCAGTACCTGAAGGGAGCTATAAGAAAGATGGAGGGAGACTATTTCCAATGGCCTGGAGTGACAGGACAAGGGGGAATGGCTTCAAATTGACAGAAAGAAGGTTTAGATTGGATATTGGGAAGAAATTCTTCCCTATGGGGGTGGGGAGGCCCTGGCACAGGTTGCCTAGAGAAGCTGTGGCTGTCCCACCCCTGGAAGTGTCCAAGGCCAGGTTGGATGGAGCTCTGAACAACCTGGGCTAGTGGAAGGTGTCCCTGCCCATGGCAGGGATTTGGAACAAGATGATCTTTAAGGTCCCTTCCAACCCAGGCCATTTTACGATTCTGTGTTTCTGTATATTAAAAAATACACCAAATTCATCTTTCCTCCTTTGCTTACAGCCTCTAAGCCCTTGCAGACAGCTCTACATCCATAGCTATTCCATGCATTGCTGTTGGGGGCTATAGTTCAAGCATGTCCATGACTGTATATTTCCTTCCCTAATTTTTCTCAAGCTATCTCATGTTGGTTTAAGCTTAATTATTCCTCCACTGAAATAATGCCCACAAAGCCTTGTGCCAGCATAGCTCAATTTCCTAAGCCTAGGTCTGTAATTGTGGTGGTCAGATGTGATTTGTTTTGGTAGAAGGTCATTGTTGCTTCAGCACTTGGCTCCCTAAGGAGATGCTTATCTTTAAAAAGATCTTTAAAAGGTACAGGAGTGATCTGGCCTTGAGTCACCTTGAGACCTACACCCAACAGCATTCCTGAAAACGGAATTTGACATATAAAGGAATGGCTTTCTCTAAGGGTTATGTCTCGAGGCGTATTCCATGGTATGTTTTTATCATGGCACACTCAGGCATATGGCCTGATCATCAGGATGAGCATGCTGGAAGTTTCTCTTTTTCCACAGCCTTTATTTCCTTATTGGACAACTATGAGACATCAACTGGTGTAGCTGAAGTAGTGACTCAAGAAGAAATAGTTGAAAACAACAGTTTTCTTGATGCTATCTTAACAACAGAGGTCATGAGGGTAAGTAATGCAGATCTTTTTTTGTCACTGAAAACACTGAATTAAAAAGTAAACTCTGTCTGTGTCTTGGTTTTCTATCCTTCAGCGAGCTCATGAATATCTGCTCAAAAAAAACCTAGCAAAGCCAAACCTTACCGATTTCAAGCATCAGCTCTATGACATCTGGTTCCAGCTCTACGCCAGGAAAGAAGAAGACAGGTATGTTTGATGGGTATGGCCACTGTTCATTCCTATGCTGTTTGATTTAGGTAAATATCTGAGTGCTATCTGTTACACACTGAACTGGAAGACATTCCTCAGAATGGCTTCAAATTGACAGAGAGTAGGTTTAGATTGGACATTAGGAAGAGATTCTTCCCTGTGAGGGTGATGAGGCCCTGGCACAGGTTGCCTAGAGAAGCTGTGGCTGCCCCATCCCTGGAAGTGTTGACAGTCAGGTTGGATGGGGCTCTGAGCAACTTGGGATAGTGGAAGGTGTCCCTGCCCATCAGATGATTTTTAAGGTCCCCTCCAACCCAAACCATTCTATGACTCTATGAATGTTGCCTAAATTAGGTGTTGAAATCTTACTGCTCAGAGACAAACAGTGTTGACCTTTGGGGTACATTGCTGGTGAATTGCCTCCGGCGGCACTTTGTGAACCTAATCAGAGGCCTTCAACCACAGACTTTTCAGATTTTACTTCATCAGTTTGACTATGAGTCTGTTAAAGGAAACAGTGCCAGAAACACTGATAAAATCTGGATAAGCAGCAGTGATGCATCTGTGGCATTTACTATCAACCTTCATCATCAAATACAAATTCAGTCCTCATGGTTGGAGTTTATTGCAAGTTTTGAGCACAGTGAGAAAGAAAACTCAACAAATCCAGACAGAAACTACTCACCAATCAACCTAAGCAAGATTGTGCATCTTCTTACCTTTTACCTCTGCCAATTTGAACTATTTAAACACATAAAAGACCTATATATTTTTCTTTTGTTTATTACAGACCCGATTCTTGTGGTTTTGAGCATGTTTTTGTTGGAGAAACAAGGCATGGCAAAGAGATCTTAGGTTTGCACAACTGGGTGCAATTCTACCTTCAGGAAAAGCACAACCAGATTGATTACAAGGGATATGTCGCTTGGAAGAACAAAACCAGGGTAAGAACAAGCAGGATGCCTTTGCAAGCAAGATAAATGGATCCAGTTGTGGTAATGAAACAAGGCTCAGTGATGCAATCACAGGCTCAACTGTTTTGAACAGTAATAAGTATATACAGTATGTAACTGTAGATAATCAGAATAAATACCACCCTGCCTTCCAGCTTCCTTTATTGCAAAAATTTTTTTAAAAAGTAGTGATGGTGTTTACAGAATTGCAACATTGTTGGGGCTTAATTGAAATAAATGATCATATATGGTCCAGAGGTATGGGAGAAGACTGTGCTCCAGCTATAGCACCCTGGCACACCAAGCATGACTAAATCTTTCAAAGCTCTCAAAAACCTGGAATCAGAAATTCTATCTGCCCTCTCACAGCTGTGTTTGAGATTATCCTGTTGTTTTGTTTATGCTTTCAGCCTGACAAAGATGTCCAAGTTTTAAGCATCCAGTTCAGCTGGAAGGGCTCAGTCAAGCTGATTGGAAGCACCTTTATTGGTGTGAGCCCAGAGTTTGAATTTGCCCTTTACATCGTCATTTTCCTGCTGTCTGAAGAAAAATTCACCCGTGAAACAGTGAAAATAGATGAGTTGTCTGGTGCCATGGACACCACCTGTCACTGGTGGGGTTCCACAGGGCTCCGTCTTAGGCCCAGTGCTCTTCTACATCTTCATAAATGACTTGGACACAGGACTGGAAGGGATACTGAGCAAGTTTGAAGATGATACAAAACTGGGAGGAGCTGTTGACTCCCTTGAAGACAAATGCCATTCAAAGAGACCTTGATAAGTTAGAGGATTGGGCAATCACCAATCCTGTGAAGTTTAACAAAGATAAGTGCCAGATTCTGCACCTGGGATGGGGCGACCACAGATGTAGGAACAGACTGGGGAATGAGATGCTGGTAAGCAGTGCCAGGAAAGGGTCCTGGGGGTCCCGGTCAGTGGCCAGTGGGACATGAGTCAGCAGTGCCCTGGCAGCCAGGAGGGCCAACCCTGTCCTGGGGGGCATCAGGCCCAGCATCACCTGCCAGGCCAGGGAGGGGATTGTCCCACTCTGCTCTGCCTTGGGGCAGCCTCACCTGCAATATTGGGGCACCATAATATAAGAAAGAGATTAAGCCATTAGAGAGTGTCCAAAGGAGGACAATGAAGATGGTGAAGGGCCTTGATTTGAATGTGTGTGAGGACACTGAGGGCACTTGGTATGTTCAGCTGGAGAAGAGGAGACTGAGGGGAGACCTCACTGCAGTTACAACTTCCTTGGGAGGGGAAGAGGAGGGGCAGGGACTAAGCTCTGCTCTGTGGGGACCAGTGACAGGACCCCTGGAAATGGCCTGAAGTTGTGTCAGGGGAGGTTCAGGTTGGATATTAGGAAAAGGTTCTTCCCCCAAGGGTGGTTGGGCACTGAACAGGCTCCCCAGGGCAGTGGGAAAAGCGCGAAGGCTGGCAGAGCTCAAGGAATGTTTGCATGATACTCTCAGGCATAGGGTGTGAGTCTTGGGGATGGTCCTGTGCAGGGCCAGGGGTTGGACTCAATGATCCTTGTGGATCCCTTCCAACTCAGAATATTCTGTGATATTCTGTAAATGCTACAGAGACCAAGCCAAGGGTTCTTAAAGCTCTTGAAACTGCACGAGAGACTGCTCAGGCCTTGATACGCAGGAGGAACAGCTGAGAGAACAGCAACAGAGGACCAACTGAGAGATACTGATGAATGGGTACAACCTTCCCTGCAGCACCAAGTGTCCTGAAGGACAACAAGAGAGGCTGAACTCAGGCTCTGGTGAATATTTGAAACACCTCAGGGTCTGAGGCAGATATTGGAAATGGTACAAAATCATAGAGCTGTCACATGGAACATCTGCTCCCTGTTCTAGAAAACAACTCTGTGGAAGGTCAAAGGCACTCAGTTTGCTTCAGGCTGGGGAACTTCTCTGCTGCCAAGGGCCCACAGGTCACATTGCAGGCCTTGACCGCTCTTGAGAGTCCTGTTTCATCTTTGCATAGGTGGCAGGGCAGAACTGAGAATAGAGCTGAGCCAGCAGAGCCTGGGAAGGGATCTCTAGCCTGGTCCTGTGGTTCATTTGATTCCATATGTGCACTGCATAGGTGTTCTTAAGGAGTTTGTGAAGCTCCGAGGCACTGGTTGCCTCAAATAACTTCTTCCAGTCCTGCCAGGGAATAGGATAAACTGCTTCTGGGTCAAGAGCCCTCACCCCTTTGCAGCTCATGCTCTGAATAGTCCTGATGGGGCACCACTTCTTGAAGACACGTGTTAAGAGATGTGGGCCCTGGTGTCCCCAGATCCAGGCATTGTAGTTCTTCACAAAGTCTTTCATGCAAAGCGCCATGAACCTGTGCTTGGGCTTAAAGGACAAAAAGGCCCCGTTCAGTTCATCCTCACTCTGTATCCCGAGGGAATTGGTGAGGTTCTGTAAGTTCCTAAGCACAATGAAGTCTGTATCGAGGTAGATACCACCAAATTTCCACATGAGGACAATTCTGCAGGCATCAGACAGGACAGGTAGGAAATAAGGCTCCCAGCGCCGCAGAGGCCACAAGTACCACTTCTTCAGAGGCGTTCCAGAAAAGAGCTCTGGCAAGTCCAGGGGCCGGATTTCCACGTTGGGGAAGCAGCTCAGCAAGGAGAAAACCCAGTGTTTGGGTAAGGAGGCATTTCCTTTTGCCAAGCCTTTCATGAGCACCACAACACTTGTCCCGGGGTGTGTCCTGGCCGCTGACTCCACAGAGCACGAGAACAGGTAACCTGGGTTAGTCCGCTCCGAGGTCTCCACGAAAAACACATTCCCTCTGGAAGGAGAGGGCTCCCCAGCATTTGGAAGGGAAAAAGGCACAGAGTGAGCACAGTTGAATTCCCCAGGCAGGTCGTAGAGGCCACTGCCGTAGGAGTCCTCCGTGATTCTCCAGTACAACGTGAGGTAGGCAAAAGACACCAACGTGAGGGTGAGGATGAACAGAGCCCTGTGCTTGTGGCTCAGCAGCACCCTGGGCAGCTTTAGCAGGGAGTTGGGCATCCTGAGCATCATCTCTCCGGCCAGAGCCTGCTCTCCTGAGACTGCTGTCGGGACCTGAATGGAAGGAAAGAAGAAATAGACTCTGACAGACGCGGCAGCAGACCACAAGCCTTGCTTCACGGTCGGGTGCCATCTTTATAGGTGCACAACAAACTCTGGGAAGAGCATTAGAAGCTTTATCATCTTCCAGAATTTCAGGCCATTCTGGACATGAGATATATATGCAAAATGACCTGGGGCTACTGAATAGGAATGCTCCTTATGAACATTCCTGCAGCTCTGTCAGCAGACATTGTGTGGAGCTGCTGCCCTGACAGCTATCTCCCATGATGAGTTTTTTCTCCTGATCCATAACGTGTCCTTCCCCCCAAACCAAACAGTCTCCCAGGCTGTTGAACCAGCAGTTGCTACCTTTTGAAACCACCCACCCACCCCTACAGAGAGCCTCGGTCATTTTTCATGGCACAGCAGCCTAGTGGAATGGATGGATAGTGGGAGGGGAATGGATACAAGGCAACTCTGGAGGCAGATGCAGAAAATTAAGGACAAGAACTGCCTTGGTAAAGCGAGTTTCAAGGCTGCTTCCCAACCCTACAAAGGCCATGCTGGATATGACCTGCTCAGCTCTTCCAGTGGATCCTGGTGATGGATATACAGTTCCCCTACCCTCCTGCCCTTACTCTCTCTCTTCTTCTGGCAAAAGGGAGGGATGGAGAGGAATAGATTATTAATGATGCAGCAACAAACAGTTAAATTATTCTAGCTGCATTCTCAGCATTTGCATCAGCATTTCTGCCTTTTCCTCCCCATAAAATGAAGTTAAAGCATAACCAGCGCCCTCTGGACCCACCATTGAGGCCCCAAAGGTCAATGCACAAAAGCACATGAAGAAGCAGCAAGGGAAGATTGTGGCATTTTAGGACCAGAAGAAATGGCCTCAAGTTGGGCCAGGGAAAGTTTAGGGAGGACATTAGGAGATATTTACTCACTGAGTTATCAAGCATTGGCACAGGCTGCCCAGGAAAGTGGTCACCATCCCTGGAGGTATTAACAGACATGTAGGTCTGGCACTTAGGGACTTGGTTAAGTGATGGACTTGGCAGAGCAAGGCTTGGGGCTGGACCCAAAGAAAGCAAGAGACTCACCTTCCTCTGCTTTCAAGACACCAGAGAATTCACTGCTCAGCTGGACAAGATTTTTAACAGGTCAGCGTCTCTAAGAGCACCTACAACTCTGTGGTCTGGCACTTCCTTCTTCTGGAAAGAAAAGGTGGGAGATGAAGTCTGAAGTGACAAACACAGTGGTAGGTGTGTAAATTTGCTACAAATTCAGTAACAAAACCAGAGAGGAGGAAAAGGTCCAGCAAAGTGCTGCTGCATACCCAGATAGGGGTTTGGGACAATAAATATCACTGATCACAAGCAGCAGGAGAAAACAGCTGAAGATCTCCATTTTCTCATGATTTACATTATTATCAAGAGTGGAAGAGGTAAGATTTGGCAATACTAGCATTCAGTAGGTGACTAATCAGTCAGGCAAATAGAAACAGAGTGGTGCCAAACAGGGGTATTTAGGGGAATTAGTTTTTAGCGTTTTACCAACAACGTTAGAGCTCCTCCTTCTGAGCTTGCAGGGAACAGCAGACCAAGCACATGTGAATATTTGAGGCAAGATGAGAGCTGCTTCTAAGGTGTTTAATTTCTGCTTTTACAAACCTAGTGTGACTGTCCGGGTCACTCCCCAAGTGTAGATCTCTGAAGTTCAAAGTGTAGATTTAATGAGATATATTACAGTAGATGAAAGAGTAGAGCTGAGTTTATCTTCCAAAAAGTCCAACAGCTTTTAACATTGTGAAATAAGCTGTGCAAATGCACAAAGTTTAATTGAAGGGTTCTGTCACCAATGTGCCAATGTCTCCCTCAAACTCCATGTAGTGAAAGTGGTGCCAGGTTCTTAACAAAGTTAAAAAGCAGTAACTTTTCACAAGGAATATGTTCTTCAAAGAAATTTCTATCTGAAAGGTGCAAAACATTTAAGTGTCTTCTCTGCTTTAATCTCTGTTTACCTTTTGGTAAAAGGTTGCATAATTTAAAAGAAATAAAATAAATACAATGCAATAGTAAAAGCAGAAGTTCCGTGAGACAAACCAAAAATGTGCAAAATGTAACAGAGAACTATATTATGCTTGCTATAGAGAGCTATAGGTCAGTTTGGTAACGGAACAGAATTTTCCATTTCAGATTAATCACTCCTCAGCTTGGGGGGGGGGAGGGGGGAGGAAAAATCTCTGGTGATATTTTTTTTCCTCAGTCATTTTTTTTAATCTCTGTTGAACAAAAGCCTTCTTGTTCTATGATTTTTCCAACACACCTCCAGTCTCTCAGATTGGCAACTTTGGAGTGTTTCTACACTTCCTCTAGGCAATAACACATCACCTGGTATCATATATTGTCCTCCAGCAACACCCTTCCCTTTGTGGTAATATCTCTTTCCAAAAGTTACCTGTCAAATTCTTTAAAGAAGAAAAATGAGTGACTCTAAGTGCCATCTCATCATTTACCAACTTGCAAGGATCTCAAATGATCCTGAGTATTTCTTAGTGAAGCTCCATAAGCACAAATAAAACACTACAACCTGATGTCTTCCATGTAGTGTCAGGATGCTGGGGCTTCACTGTGCCAAATCAAGGTCCCCGGGAATGGAGCTGTGAAGGGTTTCATCCTGGTGGGAACACCAAGCAATGCAGTGAGCGCGGTGGAAGGAGGAAAGAT